AACAGATTATCAGTAACACATCAACAACGTCTCAGTGAAGACCCAAATCCTAACCCTCACCCTGGCCCTAATCCTAATCCTAACCTTAACCTCAACCCAAAACCTAATCCTAGCCCTGATCCTAATCCTAACCCTAACCTTAATCTCAACCCAAATCCTAACCCTCACCCTGGCCCTAATCCTAATCCTAAACTTAACCTCAACCCAAAACCTAATCCTAACCCTCACCCTGGCCCTAATCCTAATCCTAAACTTAACCTCAACCCAAAACCTAACCCTAACCCTCACCCTGGCCCTAATCCTAATCCTAACCTTAACCTCAACCCAAAACCTAATCCTAACCCTCACTCTGGTGATCTTTATTTAGTAAAGGGTTCTAAAAAGAACCATGAACACTCGAAGAACCCTTTGCATGATAAAAGGGTTCCTTGCATAATGAAATGGTTCTTGTAGATGTTTTTATATAGAAGTTTATACAAATTTGACATCATAGTAATAGAAGAACCCTTTATGGTGCTGTATAGACCCGATTTCACAAAGGTTCTGAGTAGAACCATCTACAGCATATTTTTTCATGTATGTTAAACTCATAGAAATAGAAATTGTGCACTAAAAACTGCAGAGAAATGTCGTATTTACGTTTGTTCACTTACACCGATCAGGCATGACATGCTGACCACCTCCTTGTTTCTACACTCATTGTCCATTTTATCAGCTCCACTTACTATTTAGGTGCACTTTGTAGTTCTACAGTTACAGACTGTAGTCCATCTGTTTCTCTGATACTTTGTTAGCCCCCTTTTACCCTGTTCTTCAGTGGTCAGGACCCCCATGGACCCTCACAGAGCAGGTACTATTTGGGTGGTGGATCATTCTCAGCACTGCAGTAACACTGATGTGGTGGTGGTGTGTTAGTGTGTGTTGCGCTGGTCTGAGTGGATCAGACACAGCAGTGCTGCTGGAGTTTTTAAACACCTCAGTGTCACTGCTGGACTGAGAATAGTCCACCAACCAACAATATCCAGCCAACAGCGTCCTGTGACCACTGATGAAGGACTAGAGGATGACCAACACAAACTGTGCAGCAGCAGATGAGCTATCGTCTCTGACCTTACATCTACAAGGTGGACTGACAAGGTAGGAGTGTCTAATAGAGTGGACAGTGAGTGGACACAGTGTTTAAAAACTCCAGCAGCACTGCTGTTTCTGATCCACTCAGACCAGCACAACACACACTAACACACCACCACCACGTTAGTGTTACTGCAGTGCTGAGAATGATCCACCACCCAAATAGTACCTGCTCTGTGAGGGTCCATGGGGGTCCTGACCACTGAAGAACAGGGTAAAAGGGGGCTAACAAAGTATCAGAGAAACAGATGGACTACAGTCTGTAACTGTAGAACTACAAAGTGCACCTATATAGTAAGTGGAGCTGATAAAATGGACAATGAGCGTAGAAACAAGGAAGTGGTCATAATGTTATGCCTGATTGGTGTATTTACACTTAGAAAATCAACAGAATTTCGTTTGACTGAAGGGTGTTCGGACTTCTCCACACACCTGGCCTTTAAGTCGCACTAGATTCTGATTTTTTTTGTCTGAGCTTTGTTGAGTGGGCCTCTTACATCAGCAGGTGCCAAATCTTCCTCTACCTTTCATCCTCCTCTCCTCTCCTTCCTCAGTCCTCTCCTGCAGAAGGAGCTCTGCCTTCGCTTCATGCTTGCTTTGTTGCAGCTTCTCTCACTGCTGGCCTTTTTTCTCTCTGCGTTTGTGTGTGTGTGTCTCAGCTTCTGCTAACCCCCCCGCCTGGCAGTCTCAGTCACGTAAGTTCCTGTTCTGCTAACGCTGCATCCTCTCTACCTGCTGTATGAGCGCTCAGTGACCTCACTGTGGAGGTTCCTTTCACAGGACTGCGTCATATAGTACTGCGCAAAATTCAGAGACCCTTCTTTTATTTAATGTCCACTCAAAACAGACATTAAGTACAAATTATTCATTTTACAGCATCAGGAAAAAAACAGAAAACACAAATTTAACAGAAAATTACATAGAAGCCATGCATAGTTAAAAAAGAGGGTTCTTCAAGGGTTCTTTAGTAAAGAAAAGAGTTCTATACAGAACTGTGGACACTTAAAGAACCTTTTGCTTGATCAAATGTTTCTTCAGATTGATGGAGAAAGTGCTGTAGTTGATTCTACATCAAACCTTTTTGAAAAGGGTTCTGTATAGCACCAAAAAATGGTTCTTCTTCTGCTGTTGTAGACCTGCTTGACAAAGTAACAATAACAGAACCCTTTTAGGTGCTATATAGAATTGTATTCAGCACATTCTCCATCATTCTCTAGAACAGTTCCACCATGTAAAAACCCCTTAATCATGCAAAGGGTTCTTTGAGTGTTCATGGTTCCATATAGAACCATTTTTGTTGCTAAAGAACCCTGAAAGAACCATCTTTATTAAGAGTGACATCAACTAAATCTACTCTCAGCTGTGTGAGTCAGTGTGTCTCTCTTTACCTTTATTCCAGCTTCCATTCTTTTCAGGAGACTCACTTTCAGCTCCTCAAAGAATCTGCAGACACACCTCCAAAGTTCAGTCTTAGAAGCTGGTTGATCATTTTCTGAAGTAATCAAACACATTCAGTGGTGTTGAGGTCTGGACTCTGGGGTGGTCAGTCCATTGTTCAGCTTCTTTGTTTGATGTGTCCGTCTCCTTTTCTCAGTGAGGTTCTTCTTGATCAGCTACACATCCTTTCAGACCCACAGCGCTGAGTCGTCTTCTCACAGTGGAAGGATGGACAGAAACACCTGTGGATGTTTTCAGATCTGATCAGCTTGATTTTCTCCTCTCTCTCAGAGATGAAAGCTTTAAGTGCTGTTTATCTGATGGGGGCAGTTTTGGTGTCGACCAGCTCTTCCAGGTGGTTGTTAGGAGCCACATTTTCTCTGTAGCTTTTAATCAGTTTTTGGAAACTCCTGTTTTCTTTCACGTATTTTCCCTGGTCCTTCTCTTTCCTTATGCAGGCAGATTATTTTATATCTCCTCTCCTCATAAATATCTCCTCAAACACGAAACGCTTGTACTTAATGGCTGCTTTGACTGTAAATTAAAGAAACGCAGTGTCTCTGATTTTTACACAGTATTGTGTATGTGCTGTGTTGAATTGTATGTGTGTAGTTTGTAAGTGTGTATTGCTGTGTATGTGTGTCTTAGTGAGTGTTAAATTGCCTGTTTGTCTGTATTCCTGCTCCGTCCTCCATGGCCACTTTATTGGAAACCCCTCTGTTGTAGCTCCACCTTGCTGGTGAACAGTTAGAGACTGCAGCTCATCTGCTGATGTACAGTTTGTCAGTCATCATCTCATCCCTCAGTGTCAGTGCTTTGCTTGGATCCACCATCCAAATAATATCTGGACAACAGCCCTCCTGTGGTCAGTAACTGACCAGTAATGAATGAGGTAGAGGGAGCTGATTAACTGGCAGCAACAGATGTACTACAGTCTGTAACTGTACATAGTTGAGCTATAAGGCAGGTGGAGCTCATAAAGTGACCGGTGGGTGTGTGTGTTGGTATTGTCTCTGGTTGTTGGTTGTTTAAAGGGGAAACTCAGATGTCTTTACAGTGGTGGTGATAGGAACCAGGGGTTGCCATGACTACAACACAAATATAGACATTTTATTTACTATCCAGAACCACCAGTGAACCTACACGAGTCTTCTGAGTTTATATGGAATGTTGATGATGGGAAAATAGTGGAATATCTGAAATAATAAGTTTTCTTTGGGGACTATTTTGCCTCATAACACCCTGCATATTATGTATCCCTCCACCATGAATGGAGTTTAAGGCCAAAATCTTCTCAAAACAGTGTCTCAGTCATCAGGCAGGGAATTAATAACCATTTCATGTAGTAACTTTCTGTGAGGGAGCTTTTAGAGGTGGATGTCTGGTTCCTATCACCACCACTGTGAACAATTCTGACTCGGTCAGTTTCTCTAGAACAGAGCGTTTCACACCAAACCACTCTGAACCACTCTGAACCACTCTGTTTACATTTTAACCATTTAATTATGCAGGAGTTTTGAAAAATCACTGGGCTTTCCCTTTGCATTGCAAGTTCATTGTGAGAGAACTGTTGCTGACAGTTGCTCTCTTTGTCTCTCTCTCTCTCTCTCCCTCTCCAGTGCGGTTCGCTCCGTACAGACTGCAGGACATTGCTCTGAAGCCGCTGCTCTTCGAAGTGCCCAGTATAACGATGGACTCGGTCTTCACGGGTCGAGACTGGCTCTTTCAGGAGATTGACGCACAGCTGGGCAGCACCAACCCCACCACCAACCGTGGGGTGGTCCTGGTGGGCAACATCGGCTTCGGCAAGACGGCCATCGTCTCTCGTCTGGTGGCCCTCAGCTGCCACGGCAACCGCATGAGACAGATCGCCTCCGACAGTCCACAGGCATCACCCAAACGTAAGAGTTCAGGGGTCCGGGCTTAGTTAGGTTTGTCTACACTCTTAAAAAATATGGTTCTTCAGGGGGTCCTGAGTTGCGCAGCTGTCTAAGTGTTGGCCCTATCATCATCAGGAGATCGCGAGTTCGATCCCTGGTGATGCTACAGCCGTCCGTGGCTGGGAGTCCGAGAGGGCACAGTTGGCCTCGCTCTCTCTGGGTGGGTATGATGGCCCCCCCCCGTCTCCACCCCATCACTCAGTGTGATGCTAGCCAGTGCAGGAGTCTCTTAGCTGCTGTAACAGAACTGGTGGTTAGTGTTCTCCTCCAAGCATGTTCAGCTGACCAGTGACATTGTGTTAGTGGCAGTTCAAAAAGATGCGGTGGAACTTCACAGGTCTGGGAGGAAGCCTCCTAACACTGGTGGTATCATGTGATTGGGGGAGTCCTAATTAGTGGGTGGAACTGGATGCAATTAAATTGGGGAAAAAACAAAAACAAAGATGGTTCTTCAAGGGTTCTTTAGTAAAGACAGATGATTCTATGTAGAACCATGAACATTCAAAGACCCTTTGGTTAAAGGGTTCTCTGCATGGTGAAATGGTTCTTCACACTGATGGAGAATTTGTTGTATATGATTCTATATAGCACCAAAGGGTTTGTCTATTGTTATGATTTCAGGCTGGTATACAACCCTTTTTGGCACTATATAGAACCATTTTCAAAAGGGTTCTATATAGAACCATATACAACACATTCTCCATCAATCTGAAGAACAATTTGACCATGCAGAGAACCCTTGATGCATGCAAACAGCTTTGACTGTTTATGGTTCTATATGAACTATTTGTCTTTACTTAAGAACCCTTGAAGAATCTTTTTTAAGAGTGTAGATGCAGACTTCTAGTGTAAAGCTAGCCTTGGGTTCAGAATTCAATATCAGTGAATATTAAGGTAAGAAATGTTTTGAGATACACTGTCTGTCCAAAAGTGTCCAGGCAGTCCTGCTGAGTGAACTCAGCTGCTTTACATTCACCAGTTGCTGACACAGACGTTGTATAGAATCTCTATAGAAAAGCTTTGACCAATAGAATGGGATGAGCAGCTGCCCAATGCTAAGCGTGGGCTAGAGGGGTATAAAGCCCCCCAGCATTGGGCTGTGGAGCAGTGGAACTGTGTTCTCTGGAGTGATGGAGCTCCATCCAATACCTTTGGGATGATTTGGAGTGACCAGAACTGACCGTCCAACATCAGCACCTGACCTCACTAATTCTCAATCAAATCCTCACAGCAACGTTCAACATCTAGAGCCTTCCCAGAAGAGTAGAAGCTGTTACGGCAGCACAGACTCACTATTAACACCTTCATTTCAGAGGAAACACTGGAGGAGCAAATCAGTACAAACCGTTGGACAAACAGGGCCAATTACAGGCAAATTAATCTTCATTTTGGACTAATTAGCAGTGCCAGTGGTGATTCGTCTTTGTAGTCTAGGCTTAGGTTTAATCTGGGTCTGGGAAACTGACCCACTGTGTATTTGCACTGTTTTTGTAATACGCAGATAGGTAGCTAGGAATGCCTTCCTGACTTTTTGTTTGTTTATTCTCTCTCTTTATTGCTAATCCTGATAAAACCAGACATTTTCTACAGTGTGTTTAAAATTCAGCTGGAATTCCTCACTCAGAATAAATCTGCTCAAATCACTCTTTCAGTTACTTTGGCTGCCTGTTCATTTGCATACTCAGATTAAACGAGAAGGGTCTGGCTATAGACATGCACTCTCAGCCTGACATGCACCGCCAGCCTGTTAATGACGACAGTCCTGCTGTGCCACGACAGTGTTTTTGTTTTATGAGGAAAAACAGCGAAACACAAACTGTTGAGCAACAAGAGTTACACTGAACATATAAACACTGTCCTACTGATAATAATCTAATTAAATCTAAGTATAAATATAATTAAATATAATCTTTAAATACAAAGATAAGACATGAATGTCAGGTTCATTCGCAGAAAAAACAAACAGGCTACGGTTGAATCTCATGAAAGCCATGCTGAAGTCGATTAGAACCGCTGATGGTTTTGCTTCCTAACTGGGATTGGCTTGATGGTTGCCATTAGAGACCATTAGGAAATGAATAAATTTGTCTGTAATCAGTCCGAAAACACCTGATTAAATTATTTGAACTACTGAACACCACCAGGAACCAACAGACACCTTTAATGGGTTCTATGACTTTTTCAAGAGGGAGGTTCATTAAATGTAACTCTCTAGCTGCGTTATGGACGAAAAGTGGATTAAGTGATGATGTTGCTTAGCAGAAGCAGCCAAAAGTTACCGTGCCGTTGGGCGGCTTCTGCTGTTGTGGCAGAGAGTGCATCTGTCTGTGACTGCATGTCTGCAGTCGGACTCTATTGGATTAAACTCCTCCTGTTGACTTATTAAGCCCTCAGCGCTTGAGCTCTGGACTTCTGGCTGTCCCTGAGTTCAGATGTCCTTCCCAGTCTTTGCATCCTGTTCTCCGTCCTTCCAGGCCCTCCATTAAAGCTTTCTCAATACTTTTATTTTCCTTCTCACTGTTGTTGAGTTTGTTCTGTGTTGTTGGCCGTTGTGTAGTAAGTGTTGTTGTTTTTGTGTGTACGTGTTGCTCCTGTACCTAAATGACCTTTTGTATATAAATCAACCTTATTATTATTGTTTGTGTCAGATGGAGATGGTCTCCCTCTTACCCAGCCTCAGCCCTCCCATGGAACTCTGGGAGGTGGCAGCTGCCCCGGGACGCCAGAGATGAGGAGGAGACAGGAGGAGGCCATGAGGAGGCTCGCGTCTCAGGTACAAACACGTAGACACTATAACCGATTCTTAGCCGCAAAAATCTTTATTCTTCCGGTTAAATGTAAAGTTATTCAAACTTTTCTTTTCAGCTTCGTTAATATACCCCAGCCAATCACAGTCAGATCAACACAGTTAGCGACATTAATTCACTGATATAGTCTCATTTTTCTGTGTGACCCTCAAGATGAGTTAAATTAAGTGACCTTTATTAGTCCCACAGTGGGGAAATTTCACCTCTGCATTTGACCCACCCGTGCAGTAAAACACCACATACACACTAGTGAATACACTAGGGGTCAGTGAGCACACTTACCCAGAGCGGTGGGCAGCCCTATCCACAGCGTCCAGGGAGCGGTTTGGAGTTAGGTGTCTTGCTCAAGGGCACTTCAGTCACGTACTGTCGGCTCAGGGGATCAAGCCAGCGACCTTCTGGTCACAAGGCTGGTTCCCTAACCTCCAGCCCACGACTGCCAATATACACACCATGCTAATATACGCACTTCATCATCATCATCATCATCATTACTTTTATGTATATAGGGTATTTCTTATGCTCAAGGACGCTTTACAGTCAAAGAACATCAACACACATTAAGCACTGAACAACAAGAGGACAATACAGGTAAACATTCAAGTATAAACAGAACAACGATAATACAGTGCAGTCTTTAACAGAGATTTGAATGAGGATGGGGACGTGGCATCCCGAATCAATCATTCAATCAATCAACCTTTGTTTAAACTCGGAATACATTGAGTGAAACCCTCATTTGCAGCGTAGCCGAGCAAACAACTCTGGGGAGAGGGCGTTACCAGGATCCCATCAGTATTGATGCCGAGGACAGATGAACTAGATATCAGTGCCTTTGAGCCAATTAAGAGCAACTCAGTTTTGCTAGCACATGCTAACATGCTCAAAGCCCCAGCACCAACTGTCCAGACATGCCGTCTCTGTCCGTGGTCACTGCATTATGCAGATGTGCTTAAAAAGGAAAAACAACTTTGGCCACGGAGCCTCATGAAATATTCATACGCTCAGAATGTTTCCCAGCCAATCTGTTCAAATCAATGCATAAATAATCAATTCCACTCCGTACTGTCGCCCTCTCTCTCTCTCTCTCTCTCTCTCCTCTCTCTCTCTCTCGTGTTTGTCACTTACTCCTGACTTTATGTCCTTTATTCCTCTCGGTGTGGAATTGTGTCGTAGCTGTTTGGTTGTAGAGTGTTCCGTGTTCTCACTCTCAGTGGTGCACTCAGCACTTGTCACCCTCACGTGTCCCAGGTGTGTCTTTATACAGCATCATAATGCAGGGTCACACACATTTCCCATAGGTTTCATATACATGTAAGTACCTATATGTAATAATCATATGTCCCATATGTATTATATTTCAATATAACCTCAAATATAATCACAAAACCTCATATCTCCAAAACAGTAACTTTACAGGAAAAGGAAAAAACAGAACTTTCAGTGAAGTTAATGTAACAGTATTTTTTTGACAGTTTCTTTTCATCTTTTCGTCATGAAATTTTAACACAATGGAAATTCAAATTATGGCAAAAAGTAAAAATGGAGATGCAAATGTAAGTATCTATATGTAAATATGATGTGTCCCATATGTATTAAACATGTCTCTGTTGTCGGAACAAAACCTTGTATCTCCAAAATGGTAACTTTACAGGAGAAGGAAAAAACATACTCTACTTTTAATGTAAGTCAATGGAACCGGAAAGTTTTCTAAGTTATTTTGGGCCGTTTCTATTGGTCCATCCATCATGAAATTTACATACAGTGTAAAGATCAACGGGTATTTTCAAATTATGCCAAAAACTGAAAAACGACAAAAAGAGATATGAGATTTTGTTCCGACAGCAGTGAAATGTAAATCCGAGTACGTAATGACAGTGTCACAGAGACACAGTGTGTGTCTCACAGTCATGAAGATGTAAAGCATAAATAATTATATTAATAAAAACTAATAAGCAGCTTATTTTGTCTGGAAGGCAGTGAAGCAGCTTTGAACTAATCAACGCTTATTTATGAAAGTGTAAGGCAGTGTTTAGGGAGCAGGGCCGAGCGTCAGTGGGTCCTGAAACTGTCAGTGATGAAGAAATCTTTACCCAGAAATGCTAACGTTACTAATAATGAGTTCAGTCCCTATTAGCGACCATTTATTAGCATTTTAACATGAAATCAGAGAACTTGTAGAGAGGAGAATTTCAAATCTGTAATGTCTTCCAGGTTTCTCAAACGCTAGAGGGCGCTCCCGAGCAAGTCCAAAATGAATAGGGTAAAATGGAGCATTAGAGCAAAATCATAGTTTATAAATGATTAAACATTTTTAATATTAAAGAATTCATTCATTTCCTGAACACAGATCAGCATAAAACATTTTAACGCTGCTGTTATATTTTTAAAAGCTTTTAAACTTTGAGTTATAGGAGTTTAAAACAGCGCCTCATGTACATTCAAGACGTTGGTGAGCGCGAACAGCCAATGAGCTGCTCCGCTCGCCAACCAATCAGCACTCAGTATCAGTAATGTTAGCGTCCTGCTGCCCAAAACCCGTTTGCTGTAGAATAAAGGAAGCATACAGGTGAGTTTTCTTTGTTTATTTAGTGAAATCCATCCTTCTACTGTCTAAAACTAAAGGAAAGTTCTGGTTCAGTGATTAGAAACTATTTTAACTTTAGTTTTTAGCCGTTGAGCTCCATTCACTCCCATTCATTGAGGACGCGCTCGCGGGCGCCCTCTGCTGTTTAGCGGTCCTGTTTTTGATATAACAGGGGAAATAGGAAGCGGCCAGACTCCTCATAAACCGGCTCTGGTTTAACAGTAAGGGGTAAAGGCTGATTCTGCTCCTCTCTGCTGCCCCCTGCAGGTGGTGGCGTATCACTACTGCCAGGCAGACAACGCCTACACCTGCCTGGTGCCGGAGTTTGTGCACAACGTAGCGGCGCTGCTGTGTCGTTCGCCGCAGCTCAGCGCCTACAGAGAGCTGCTGCTGAGGGAGCCGCACGTCCAGAGCACGCTCAGCCTACGCTCCTGTGTCCAGGACCCGCTGACCGCCTTCAGAAGAGGAGTCCTCGAGCCACTGGACACACTTTACAAAGGTGGGAAATAAACAGTATTTTTTTATAAAATGTGACACAAAACAGGAACAAAAAGAAAAAGTGAAAAGCTGTTTTAAAATTGTAGTTTTTGTTTGGGAATTTTGTAATTTAATTGTGGTTCATTTTAAAATTTTCTCTTTTGTTGCCTGATAACAATTCTTAATAACAGTAATACTAAAAATAGATTCATTAATAGGGGACCTTTTATACATGTTGCAGCTCAAAGTGCCTTACAATGGCATAGTATGTTTATGTTTATGTATACAAACACACAACAAAATATAGAAATAATATAATTGCGCTTTAATATAATTTTAATGCAAATAATTTTATAAATAGTTTGAATTTGTGTATAGAAAGCAAGAATAAAATAGATTAAAAACCTGTTTTAAAATTGCGGTTAATATTCATAGAATCGGGAATTTGAAACAAAATATTTAAGTGACGTCCCTGTTGTGTGTATAACGTTCCATTTTCTCTTTTTATTGCCTGATAACAATTCTTAATAATAGTAATACTAAAAATAGATTTATTAATAGAGCACTTTTCATACTTGTAGTGCTTTACGATGAAATAGTAGGTTTATGTATAAAAGCACACAATGAAATATAGTAATAAAAAGCAGCATTAAGGACAAATATAGATGTGTGCTGTAATGTAATTTTAATCAAATTAATTTGTGAATAGGAAACAGGAACACAACAGACTAAAGACCTGTTTTCAAATTATGGTTAATATTCATAGAATCAGGAATTTGAAACAAAATATTTAAGTGATTTTGTTCCTGTTGTGTGAATAATGTTGTTCATTCTCAGTTTTCTTTTTTGTTCCCTGATAACAATTCTTAATAACAGTAACACTAAAAATTATTTATTAATAGAGCACTTTTCATACATGTTGCAGCTCAAAGTGCTTCACAGTGAAATAGTATGTTTATGTATAGAAGCACAAAATAAAAATAATAATTAAAAACAGTATTATAAAGCAGAAATTGACATGCACTATAATTTAATTGAAAAACTCTAATTAAACAGATGTGCTTCCAGATGTTTGATAAATAACGACCTTGACTGTCTAATTGTGAAAGGCCATGTGTTCCCCAGTTTTAAAGCGCTCTAACCTCCTCACTCTTTCTGGAAGACGTGCAGAGATACAAACTCACCCCGTTAAACTGAACTGGAGTCGACTCATCTGGTCGTTTTCTAAGTGAGTTGTGAATCTCTGTGTTGTTCAGAGAGGAAGATCACTGTGGATGAAGACTTCATCATCCTCATAGACGGACTGAATGAAGCAGAATTCCACAAGCCTGATTACGGCGACACCATCGTCTCCTTCCTCTGTAAGACCATCAGCGGCTTTCCAGCCTGGCTCAAACTCGTGGTGACTGTCAGAACCTCACTGCAGGTAAAACACTCAGCTGTTCTTCATCAGAGGACAGACTCAGTGAAATGAACCGCTTCCTTTCCCGTTCACTGTGCTGAGTTTGCGCCAGGCAAATGTCACTCATGTTCAGTGTGACCAGCTGTTACACAGTCATGAAAATTATATAAAGCTCTTTTTTTATTTCCCAAGCCTTGTGACCTCCCCACCATCCATCAATGTCCAGGTTATGTATATACATTTAGTGTACATGTAGTCTTTTAAAATTTAGATATCCAACCTGTACAGAGACAGGAGTGAAGACAAAATACAGAAAAATTAAAATATCAAAATATTGCCAAAAAAAAACCCCAACAAAAACGCAATTGGTGTAGTAAATAGTTTTTCCTCAGTAAAGGGAAAAATCTTTTTATTGGGACAATAAGTGTGTTCTTGCCAATAAAGACTATACTATATAACGAATAAATACCAGTAAACATAAATGGGTCATTGACATGACGTGTATATTTTGTGTCCAACTCCATTATTTTCTTATAAAAATATTTAATAAATACATGACATACGTCAAATTATTCAACAATACCTCTTATATGTGAAACAATTTTCAGTTCATCCATGTAAAATTCATTTTAGGTTTTTGTTGTTTTTTTTGCCTCCATAAGTCTTAAATGTCAGGTGGGGCAAAAGTCCAATCATGTATATTTATTAAGTAAAATATCAAAAAAGGTAATTTAGTTATATATTTTTTGCAAAATAAAGCAACTTTAAAAGCGCTCAACTCACTGAAAAACGTCTGTCCGCAAGTTATGTCCTCAAATGTCAGGCAGCACAACTAAAAACAAAAAACACTTTTATTTTGACATTTTGTTTTTAACGAAAGAGGGGCCAGGGTACTGCATCATAAAGAAGACCCCAAGTGACCCTTATGGAGCAAAGCCGAGGTTAATTTAGTAAAAATTACGTAACAAATTGAGTAAAAATGTGATTTTGAGTTGTGGTTAGAACGGTTCTGTTTACCATGTCAGGTGGTCTGACCTCAGGAGAACCATGAAAATGCGAAATTATTACAATAATGTTTATTTCTTTGAAAAAATGTGAGTATAAACACAAGTTGAAGGACAAAGGTTTCCTACGGGGGTCTAAGTAGATGCCTGTTTAATTTGAAATTAGTCTGAAAAGTCAGGCGGCGCAACCAGTCAGTCAGATGAAGCAACTAGACCAGCACAGTTTAATACCTTGATAACGCTCACTATATTTAAGACAGAGCATAGATACAAATGCAAATATATACGCAGATATAAAAAAGCACGTCCTTTTTTTGATTATTGTCTTTTTTATTGCACTCTATTCAGTATCATCATTCAATCACACATTTGGATCTCTCACAACTGGCCAACATACAAAGGATTTTAAGAGAGATTTTCTTCCACAGAGGGGTCCAGAGTTTGCAGAATGTGTCCGTTTGATGATGTAGATCGTAGGTCAGTTTTCCAAGAGAAGCAGCATCGCAGCTTGGGAAAACCACTGCTGGACAGATGATGGAGAGGGGCTGGCCCATAGATATCCACACCTAGATGCCGCGTTGTCTGTTGTTCTCTGTCTGAGGCTATACGTCCACGCGTCCACTATGTTGGAGCGGTCAAGATCCGCTTGTGAATGAATTTGCTTGTATTGAGAGACGATGAGTCTCAGGATTAAATCAGCCACAACTTCCTTATTACTTATTAACCGTCCGGACCAGCAGGAAAGTATTCAGTCTGCATCTGACGTTAAAAACAGAGTTTAGCATGGGAAACACAAACACACACATCAGCAAATCCATCAATGTGTGAATCACTTCTAATGTTTACATACAAAAGGACGAAGCTAAAGTTGGCTACTGTTCGCCAGCTTCTTGTACGAGTTTTCCCGTTCCACCTTAAATGGTGCAGCAGTCAGTAGAAGCTGACTGATAAACCATTTAAGGTGAAACAGGAAACTTCGAACATAAAGCTGGCAAATAGGAAACTAACTTCAGCTTAGTGTAAGAAGGTGCTAACGTTAATCTATTATGAATATCTACACGGATTAAGGAATGCTATAATTTACTGCTACAAAGCTTTAACCATCACTGTAAATAAATAACTACTACATCAAGAAGATCCCCTGAATAGACTATTAAATGAAATAAGCTTCATATAAAACCAGAGAAAAACAATCACATCAGCAGATTCTCTGTGCTTTACCAACCACACAGCCATATCTACACAAACACAGACATGAGTGTGGATCACTGCGTTCTCTCCGGTATATAATCCTGTCCCACTTTCTGAGTGTGATATTCCTGAAATAGTGTAATTTTGGACAGTGTCTTTCTTAAACTGCCGCTCTGTAATGGTACTGAATGCAGTCCAGCAGTGATGTTGACCGCCACAAAATGGCGGTGCCGTTGACGTGCCTGGCTGGACCCAACGCGGCATCTAGGTATGGATATCTATGGGCTGGCCCATCGAATAAAGATACATTTTTTTGCCAGCAATGAAAACATTAGAAACAAAAATTTGCCATCAAAAAATCAAAAATATGTTCTGCTCCTATTCGCAAGAGATACAGACGGGGGCTCCTGAAACATTCTCTACCGTGATGTGCACTCTGTCCCAGAAAATGCTGATTTTTTTACACTGACAAAAGGCATCAAAGAACTTTCCTTCTTCAGTTTTACATTTAAAGCACAAATTAGACCCGTCTGGAAACATTTTTTGTAGGTGAACAGGTGTGAAGTACAGGTGTGAAGTACAGGTGTGAAGTACAGGTGTAAAGTAAATCCTATTCATGAATGAATGAAATGAGTTGAGCTCATGAACACCAGATGAGGGACATTTGGGAAACAGGTTTTTACAAATAGTGAACCAGTCCTCTTCTGAGATAGGCTGGTCTAGGTCCCTTTCCCAAACTTCTCTCAAAGTATCCGACGAGGGTTTAATACTGTTTAGCAAAATGTCATGAAGTAGTGAGATTGACCCTCGCACGTCTTTTTTAATAGGATTTTTTCAAGCCATCATTTTGAAAACCTTGTTTGTCATTGACCCATATACAGTAAACCGTAATAACACAGAAGAGCACAGGTCTGGTGTCTGACTTCTCGCTGCCCTCCAGCCTGATTTGGTCAGTTCCATCATCAGCATCTGATTTAACTTAATGAAGGGTTGAATAGATAAACTAGGTATTGGATAGTAACTAAACACTGTTCTTCCTCCCTCACAATCACAGTGGATTGTTTATTTGTATTTATTCTAAGATGCCCAAGACTTTTGCACATTACTGTACATATAAACAGCTGCTGATCTGTATGATGAAAAAATAATGTAGTAGTTTAAATATACTGCACTCTGAACCCAGACATACCAGTCACCAGTTCTGACCCTCGGTTGGTCATCTCTCCTGGCAGGACATCACCAAGCCGCTCCCGTTCCACCGCATCTCTCTGGACGCCCTGGAGGAGAACGACGCCATCGACCAGGACCTGCAGGGCTACATCCTGCACCGCATCCACAGCAGCGCCGAGATCCAGAACAACATCTCGCTCAACGGCAAGATGGACAACACCAGCTTCGGCAAGCTGAGCACCCACCTGAAGGCCCTGAGCCAGGGCTCCTACCTCTACCTGAAGCTGACCTTCGATCTGATTGAGCGCGGATACCTGGTGCTGAAGAGCTCCAGCTACAAGGTGGTCCCCGTCAGCCTGGCCGAGGTTTACCTGCTGCAGTGCAACATGCGCTTCCCCACGCAGTCGTCCTTCGAGAGGGCCCTGCCGCTGCTCAACGTGGCCCTGGCCTCGCTGCACCCGCTCACCGACGAGCAGATCTACCAGGCCATCAACGCCGGCTCCCTGCAGGGCACGCTGGAGTGGGAGGACTTCCAGCAGAGGATGGAGAACCTGGCCGTCTTCCTGGTGAAGAGGCGGGACGGCACGCGCATGTTCGTACACCCCTCCTTCAGGGAGTGGCTGATCTGGAGGGAGGAAGGGGAGAAGACCAAGTTCCTGTGTGATCCCAGGTGAGAAACGGGGAGTCAGAGCAAACTGTGAAGGAGGGTCGCAGGGATTACTCCACAAAGAGCATTACATCAGATGTAATGGCTTAAAAACAAAGCTCCCTTTGATTAAGACTGAGTACCTGATCAGAACCAGCATTTTAGTGTTTCTGTTCTTAAAGACAGCTTAATTCTGTTCCTTTCACACAACATCACTGTCAAAAAAAGACATGCGTCTCCAAAATAGTAACTGTAAAGAAGACGGCAAAAACATTCTTAACTTTTTATGCAAGTTAATGTAAGATGTGAGATTTTATTCCAAGTAATTCTGGACCATTTCTGTTGGTCCAGTCATCATTTTCAAAAGATGTAAAGCAACAATGATAAATATAGAAATAAAAATATAGAAAAATAGAAATTAGTCCATGTGTAGGTGCACAGAGGTAGCAAATTCCCCATTTTAAAATGTCTGGGCTGCACAGTACGCATATAATGAAATCGTGCGAGATGTGATGTTGATAAAAAAAATACATTTCTTCCAGAGAAGTTGATTACATTTTCAGTTATGTTCTTGTTTCCTGCTAAATGCAGTCTGGGTTTTATTTTCATTCCTCAGACTGGTCTGATGCCAAGAATTGCGCAATAATACACAGTTTCGCTGTAAGCATGAGGCCGAAAGCGTTACACAACAGTTTCCTTATGGATATTTTTAGCTGTTGAGACAATGATGACACTTCTCAAGAATGTTTATGTACCTGGGTCATTCTACAGAAACGTCCACTCTTCTATCTCTCCATAGGAGTCACTGGTGTTACTGATCCTCATTGGTGTTACATATAATAAATATAATACATATAATTTCATTTTTAATGAACAATGCATTTTACTAAACGGCTGCTACAGAGCATCAAACCACATGTTGTCAATCATGGAATATCAACTAAAATATGTAATTTAATCCATTTGTGTTCTATTTTTTCACAATTAGCTCAGAATAAAGTCGGTCACACCAGTGACTTCAGCTAAAAGCTTCATATGAAATCATGAGCTAAATGAGAAAATCTCTGATAACTGAAAGACACAGTGGACTCACCATGAGCTTTTCTTCATAGATCCTCAGAAAACAGGTAAAAGGAAGTCAAGTGATGTCATCAGTGTGACTTTTATTTCAAAATAAGAGATTTTTGTTAAGCAGTGACACCAGTGACACGACTCCTGGAGAACTTTCATTATATATTTTATAATATTTATTTGGCATTTGTTTTATTTATGTTATTTTATTTTTATATATTTCATAGTCATGTATAGATTATTGCAGTTAAAATTGCAGAGAAACGTTTTTTTACCTCAAAATGTGTCCTCAGCCTTCATACATGACTGTGAGGACGAGCTCTTCTGTGGTGCTTGGAAATTTATATGATTGATTTAAAAACCAATATTGCTAAATTGAGGCTTAAGAAGGTGTAACTGTTAAAATAACATATTGTTTTGTTTTACAATATAAATAAATTGTAACCGTAACTTTTAAGTGTAATATATCTGTAAACACTAGGGACACAAAAATGGACGTTTCTGTAGAATGACCCACCTACTGCAAAGAAAAATAGTTCCATTAAACAGCATATATACAGATTTTACTCTCTCACATCAACATTCAGCCAAAATACTACTTCAGTGATATTACTACATTTACAGTTCATCATCAAGAGTTAAACTGAAATATATTTTTTCAGAGTTAATATATTTAAGGCTCAATATATTTCATTCAGACTTCATTTTCTGAACAGTTAATTTTGTAGACCTACTGATAATGCAGTAGCATTAAACTTTGACAGACTGTAATACACTACAGGAAGCATAGGGGGCGATATGGCTTCTACGGTTTCATTTAAAAAGCCTCTATAATGTTCATATGATCCACACAGTCACTCTGACAGACTGTAATACTCTACAGGAAGTGTAGGGGGCGATATGGCTTCTACTGTTTCATTTAAAAAGCTCTATAATGTTCATATGAGCCACACAGTCATTCTGACAGACTGTAATACACTACAGGAAGTGTAGGGGGCGATATGGGTTTGTTTAAAAAGTGCTTTGTATTACTCCACAGTGTTCACATGAAGAAACCTGCAGACGACAGAAAGTTTTAATTAGTTGAATCAAATAATAGTCAGTAGATTAGCTGATTATTGAGGTAATCTCTGTTTGCAGCCCTGCTTTGAATAGAAAAATACCGTTTTTGGGGTTGGATGAATGTCAGAAATGTTTTTTGTTGCGTTAGGTAACCACTGCGCTCGACAGACTTAAAGAAAGAGTGGTGTTGCACAACAGCGTGATATAATGTTGTTTTTCCCCGTCATGCTCTCATGTGTCTTTATGCTTTGCTGTATTTTGCCATTGTTACAGGAACGGCCACACTCTGCTGGCCTTCTGGTTCTCCAGACAGCAGAACAAACTCAACAGACAGCAGACTATAGAACTAGGACACCATATTCTAAAAGCACATATATTTAAGGTGGGTTAAATGTACAAAAATACACAATAAAAGAAAAAACAAGTTTTTTTCTTCTTTGAAAAGCCAAACCACTCAAAGCTTTCAGCACGGCTGCAAGGCCAGCGAGGCGACTCTGACGCGGATGTTGACAGACACTTCCATTCTTCTTGCACTGCAGGGCCTCAGTAAGAAGGTGGGGGTCTCCTCATCCATCCTGCAGGGGCTGTGGGTGTCTTACAGCACTGAGAGTTTGTCCACTGCTTTGTCGTCCTTGAGAAACCTCTACACCCCTAACATTAAGGTACAGCACCGTCCCACACAGACAAATAAAGGACAGATCTAGCCAGTAAGACTGATATTACTACTAATGGATGAATGATACTAGGCATTCATTTGCATTATGTTAATGAGATCATGCTAACAGATTGCCACCAGCTTTGACTGCTTTAAATCTGTTATTTATTATCTATTATTTATTGTTTTTATAACAATTATTGTCTCAATTCAGCCACTATGCACTCATTTATACTGTGTGCTTTAGCAGCTGTTCATTTTAGTAGTAGGATATTGTGAAAAGTAGCTGAAACATCCTCACACACTTAAAACAGGCATTTTCTGCACATTTTTCTGTTTTTCTGAGTTTAACATGCTGGAAAAAATAAAACATACAGTATTAAATGTGTCATCACTTCCACACAGGCCACATTTCTTATTTCATTTTTTACCCAGTATGTTAAATTCAGCAAATAAACAGTAATGGTGCATTAAAATCTGCAGAGGTGTGTTCTCTGTAGAGGAAGTGTGCTGGTACAGTAGTATTAATAAAGTTAATAAGTTAACATTAATAAATTAATGAGCTTTCTGAGTGCTGCTACTATAACTACACTAACAGAGTTTGTTCTGATTGGACTGTTTTGTTGTTTTCTTCTCTTAGAATAACATAAAATGAATGTTACACAGTATTGTAAACATTAACCAGGCAGAAAGCACATTTACAGAAAGAAAACCTACTGTTTGTTTATATTTATGTATTTTAAACAGCTCTTTAAAAACAATCTGAATGACTCACAGTCATAGAATTAAAGGCTAAGAGGAACGCTGCTGTTTTAGGGGCATTATATAATAGAAGGGTTAATATCTATCAAATATTGCTGTAACTGAAATGCAGTATCGTGGTGTACCAGTATAGATGATATATTATACAGACAAAAGTATTGGGACACCTACACATCACACCTACAGGGAGCTTTTATGACTCCCACTCTAAATCCATAGGCATTAATATGGAGTTGGTCCCCCTTGGCAGCTCTAACAGCTTCCACTCTTCTGGGAAGCTTCTACAAGATGTTGGAGAGAGTCTGTGGGAGTTTCTGCCCATTCATCCAGAAGAGCATTAGTGAGGTCAGACACTGATGTTGGTCGAGAGAAACTGGCTCACAATCTCCGTTCTAGCTCATCCCAAAGGTGTTTGATGGGGTTGAGGTCAGGGCTCTGTGAGGGCCAGTCAAGTTCTTCCACACCAAACTCACCCAGTGAAGCCTTTATGGAGCTGCTTTGTGCTCTGGGGCTCAGTCATGCTGGAACAGGAAAGGTTCTTCCCCAAACTGTTCCCACAGAGTTGAAAGTGTACAACTGTCCAAAATGTCTTGGTGCTGAAGCATTAAGATTCTCCTTCACTGGAACTGAGGGTTCTAGACCAACCCCTGAAAAACAGCCCCATATCATCATCCCTCCTTCACCAAACTCTACAGCTGGCACAGTGCAGCCAGGCAGGTAACGTTCTCCTGGCATTCGCCAAACCCAGTCTCGTCCATCAGACTGACAGGTAGAGAAGCTGATTCGTCACTCCACACAATACGTTTCCTCTGCTCCAGAGTCCAGTGGAGGTGCTTTACTCCACTCCATCCGACGCTTGGCATTGTGCAATTTGATCTTAGGCTTGTGTGCAGCTGCTCAGCCATGGAAACCCATTTTGTGAAGCTCCTAATGCGCAGTTCTTTTGCTGATGTTGGTTCTAGAGGCAGTTTGGAACTCTTTAGTGAGTGATTTAACAGAGGATAGACACTGTGTGCTTCAGTCTGTGAGTTTGTGTGGTCTACCATTTGTGGCTGAGCTGTTGTTGTTCCTAGACACTTCCATTACACAATTATAGCACTTACAGTTGACCAGCAGGACAGATAAAGTCACTGAGCTCATCAGTGTGACCCATTCTATTGCCAGTGTTTGTCTATCGAGACTGAAAGGCTGTGTGCTTAATTTTATCCACCTGTTAGCAATGGGTGTGGCTGAAACACCTGAACACAGTAATTAGGAGGGGTGTCCCAATATTTTTGTCCACATAGCGTATATCACCAAACACCCCTTTCGGCTCCATATGGAAACCTGTAACTGTGCAACACTCGGTTTGAAAAACTCGGTTTGATCTCCACCTGTTTTCCCGCTGTGGTGTTCAGGTGTCTCGGCTGCTGATGATGGGAGGGGCGAATGTGAACTATCGTACGGAGGTGTTGAACAACGCTCCAGTGCTCTGCGTGCATGCCCACCTGGGATACATGGACATGGTGAACCTGCTGCTGGAGTTCGGGGCCAGCGTGGACTCGCCGTCCGAGAGCGGAATGACCCCACTGAGCTACGCCGCCGCAGCCGGACACCTGAGTATAGTGACCACTTTCTGCAAGAAGAGGGCCAAGGTACAGCATCCAGCACACACACCTGCAGCAGACGTTTGGAAGCACTTAAAATATTAATGGGTTAATTTATTTTACATACAGACTTAAAAATGGCGGTTCTTCAAAGGTTCTTTAGTAAAGAAAATGGTTCTATATAGAATCATGAACATTCAAAGATCCCTTTCCATGATTAAAAGGTTCTTTGCATGGTAAAATGGTTCTTCAGATTGATGTAGAATGTGCTATACATGGTTCTACATGGAAGCGTTTTGAATAGGGTTCTTTATAGCATCAAAAAGGGTTCTTCTATTGTTACAATGACAGACTTGTTCCAATATATAGAACCATCTACAGCACATTCTCCATCAATTGGAAGAACGAGTTTCATGATGCAAAGGGTTCTCTGAGTGTTCATGGTTCTGTATAGACCCATTTTCTTTACTAGAGAACCCTTGAGGAACCATCATTTTTAATTGTATACAATAATAACTTTCAATATTTGATTTTAATATTACAATCTATACAGCAACTTTTTGGGGAGCAAGAAATGAGTCAGTGATTAAAGAAAATCATAATTATCTACTTACAGTGATTTTTGGTCAGGTTATCCAAGCTGAGTCAGGTTTATTTGAGCAGAAATATCACCAAACTGTGCTAGATCGATATCGCCAAACTAAAGCTCTAAAGAACCACTGTTGCTGTCTTAAAGTGATGAATTGGCAGGAATTTAAATTTATACAGTAATCGATCAGCCAAGGCCTGTTTGGTGATCGCTTTTTCCTTCTTAAGAGGCTCCGTTTTAGAAAGTTTCCTCCCACGGTGTTCTTTAGCACCTCCATACATATAAATATACACTATTATTTACATCATATATGCCCCGAAAAATAAATTAAGGGTTCTTTAGCAAAGACAGTATAGAACTATGAACACAAATCATTTGCATGCTTAAATGGTTCTTTGCATGGTAAATCTGTTCTTCAGATCGATGGAACATGTGTTGTATATGGTTCTATATAGCACCAAAAAGGGTTCAGCTATTGTGATGATACCATGCTTGTAACAACAGAAGAACCATTCTTGGTGCTATGTAGAACCATATATAGAATTCTATATACAACACATTCTCCATCAATCTGAAGAACGATTTCATCATGCACAGAACCATTTAAGCATGCAGAGTGTTTATTATTCTATATAGGATCTTTGTCTTTACTAAAGAACCCTTAAAGAACCTTCTTTTTTAAGAGAACACACTAGCCTCTGTCCTCAAGTAGAACACTAAAGAAGCAAAGTTCAGACACCAACTCGTCTTGGCTGACATTTAGAACAGGGGGAGGACACTCTGGAAATGTTAAAGGTTATTTTTCAAAAATTATATATTTTGGCTGAACCTTCCTTGCAGCTTGACCACCTGGACAGGAACGGTCAGTGTGCTCTGGTGCACGCGGCTCTGCGGGGCCACATGGAGGTGGTGAAGTTCCTGCTGCAGAGTGACTGGGGGATGGGGGCGAAGCAGCAGCAGCTGCAGAGCCCTTCGCCAACGCAGTCACAGCCACAGTCGCAGCCCTCCAGCCCTGAACAGGCCCAGGAGGATGTGGAGCAGGTGGAGACCCCGGAGGAGGAAGAGGAGAGAGAGGCAGAGGTGACCTCAGAGCAGCCTGAGGCCGAGGACGAGTCCCAGCAGAAGATCCAGCAGCCTGAGCCTCCACAGCAGCCTCAAACCCAACCTCAGACTCAGACTCAAAGTCAGACCTCGCAGGCAGCCTTCAGTAAGAGCCACGCAGTGCAGCAGGCGCTGGTAGCAGCAGCCAGTATGGGCTTCATTGAGGTAAACACGGCTTCAGCTGTCTGTCAGCCACAGAGCCTCTCAGAGCCACGTTCATGCAAACCTTTTAGGGTGAACTCACCCTAGGCGATCCGTACTGTGCCTAGGCCCGCTTTAAGGGGGAATTCCACCAATTCTTTCACATTTTTCTGCATAATTCCATCATTGGGATGTAAACAAAGTCATTCAGAGTGGTTTGGTGTAAAATGGTTCATTGCAGAGAAACTTACCAACTTAGATGTCTTTACAGTGGTGGTGATAGGAACCAGGGGTCGCCATGACTACAACACAAAATAGACATTTTATTTACTATCCAGAACCACCAGTGAACCTACACGAGTCTTCTGAGCTTATATGGAATGTTGATGATGGAAAATAGTGGAAAATCTGGAATAATAAGTTTTCTTTGGGGACTATTTTGCATGTATCCCTCCACCATGAATGGATTAATAAGACATTTTAGGCTGGAACTGAAATCATAACCATTTCTGTGAGGGAGCTTTTAGAGGTGGACGTCTGGTTCCTATCACCACCACTGTGAACAATTCTGACTCAGTAAGTTTCTCTAGAACAGAGCGTTTCACACCAAACCACTCTGAACCTCTCTGTTTACATCTTAACCACTGAATTATGTGGAACTTCTGAAAAATTGATGGAGTCCCCCTTTAAGAGATGGGTTCGGGCCGTCAACGATGCGGCAGTCCCACTTTTTAATTCACTGGATAATACGTGGGTTAATAACGAGTCTGCTTCTCACCTTAATAAGGAATGTGCATTGTAGTCGGCAAGTAAAGCTGCACATTCCTCCTTCAACATCATAAATATCAAATATCATAAACATCATATACAGTCATGCTCAGGCACGGTACAAGGCAACAGGGCGCAGTGTGAGCACACCCTTATAACAGGTGCCTCAGCCATACTTACTGTCCTTTCGTTCTTTCACTTTCTGACATTCCTTCCACTTTTTCTTTGTGTCTTTCTTTCTGTCTTGCTTTCTTTTTCTTTCACGTACTTTCTTTTTATTTCTGTTTCTTGCTAGCATTTGATGTTTTTCCTGCTGTCTTTCTGTCATCATATATAGAGGTGGGCGATATGGCAAAAACAAAACATTGCGATACATTAAGAAATTTTCATGATACACGATGTCACAATATTAATTTTTTAAAGCCATCTGATCAGTTGTAACAGAGAAAAAAGAGCCAGTACTGTAAAATACTATCAAAAAATATGAATGCAGTGATTTTTATTTAATATTTGGAACTAAATCCAGTTAAATAGAACTAATTTTGCTCTCTTTATAATGAAACATGCGGTTGGTCAGTTTCTGCAAGGACTGACGATAAACACAATGTGTTCAGAAAAGCATGTGGTATTGTACTGTGACATAATTTATCACAATAACTAAATAAATATATATATATATATATACACTGCACAGCCATAATAATAAATATTTCTCTCTCTCTCTCAGATTGTGTCCTACCTGCTGGACCTGCCTGAGAAGGATGAAGAGGAGACTGAGCGCGCTCAGATCAATAACTATGACTCTCTGTGGGGGGAGACAGGTAGGCTGACTTACTCAGAGCCTCACACACAGCATTACATCCCACACAGTGACTGACTGCTGACTCGTCCACAGCACTGACCGCAGCGGCAGGCCGGGGGAAGCTGGACGTTTGCCGGCTGCTGCTGGAGCAGGGCTCTGCTGTGGCTCAACCGAACCGCCGGGGGCTGGTTCCTCTCTTCAGCGCTGTACGCCAAGGACACTGGCAGGTACAGAACCATGAAACAAATGCTAGAACACTGATCCCCAAGTACATGCAAACAGGCATTGACTCATCATGCCTGTGTGATCTGGTCAAGAAATTAATGTGTTAATTTGAATTTTCATTGATTTTCCTAAAAATGAACAAATAACCAGTTAGTTTTTCATTTAAAAATAAAATGATAGAACCAATAATTGGATTTGCCGTGACAAGCTAACACACCACTTTTTGCATAGTCTCCTTGAGGGGCTCGATGCCCAGTCAGGGGGCCATACCAGCAGATCAATCATTATGCCCCACTAAACAGACTGAATAAAACTCTAAATGTGTAAAAACTAATGATATAAAATACTTATAAGTTGATTTGAAATGTGGTTAGAACACTATGTGCCCTTTGCGACCGCCTTTTTGACGCAGCGAAGTTCAACTCAAAGCCTTCAGGTACCAATTAGTAGGTTTAGTTTTTGATTTTTGATTTCATGGATCCAAATTATCACATCATATCCAAATGACAGCTTTCTAGCTACACTAGACAGCATTACCCACATAGGATGTTCACTGACACTGACTAAACTGTTGCTTTGCAGAAAGCAGCCTTCAAAAATGTAACCCCCAAAGAAACCTCTCAGACTCAGCACAGTCCCCCGTTGTGTTGGTCAGTGCTTTTCTGTGGAGATAATATGAGCTATGTTTGTGCAAATGAACACCTGTATGAGCAGTAGGTGCACCTTAAGGCCCAGTCCCATTTCTTATTTCTACCTCTACCCCTGTTTTCGAGTGTTGCCCCTTGGAACTGAGTTACAGGGTAGTGGTTGAAATCTTCCCTCTGAAATGGGACCCTCAAATAAAAAGAGCATCACTTCATTAACAGCTACCAGCGCTGCTCTGTAGGCGACCCTGCCAGTCTGCAGTGACAGCAGAGGAGGGTAAAGTTCAGCTCCTCACTGCTGGGCTTTAGTTACATTTAGGGGGTCAAACGATCTTCAAAGGGGGGGCAATTATTTATTATCACCCCCCCCTAATTCTTCAGTAATATGAAGCTGAAGTCAGATATTCTCCAGATTCTTGTTCGAATTTTCCCGTTCCACCTTAACTGCTGGACTATTTAAGGTGGAATGGGAAGTTAAGCTAGCTAGCTACCGAGACATTAGCATATTATTAATGATTTGTTATGCTTGTTATGAAGAAAAGTACCATAATACACTGAAACAACATTAAGATAATATGATTTGTGGGTTTCTTTGGTCTCTTGTTCAGCCATCTTGCCGGTTTTTCTTTTATTTCCCATAACACTCTGTTTGGAGTCTCTCTGAGGGTCATGTAACACTTCACCCCACCCCTCTATCTCAACAAGAATCGGGACACCCTACCCCTAGACGTGAACGTGCACAACAGAGGGGTAGGGCTAAGTGATAGGGGCGAGGGGTGAAATGGGACTGGGCCTAAAAAGTAGCTGAATTCACTCATTAGAAGGGCTGATTGGATCCGTTTGGATCATCTGCTGATTTCTTGGACGTGCAGGTAACACGAACCAATAAATAAAAATAGATAATGAGGCGTTAATAAAGCCATAAACTGGTCAAGCTGTACTCATTTTTGCATGTTTGTATTTGACGTGTACCGTCTCCACAGATCGTGGATTTGCTGCTGAATCACGGGGCAGACGTAAACATGGCGGATAAGCAGGGCCGGACTCCTCTCATGATGGCCGCTTCAGAGGGTCATGTAGAGACAGTGGAGTACCTGCTGGCTCAAGGTGAAGCACCCATCATTTAGCTCTTGCAGATTTAATGAGTTGGTTAACTTAAAAACAGAGAGATTCAGAGTGGTTTGGTGTGAAATGGTTCAGATGTCTTTACAGTGGTGGTGATAGGAACCAGGGGTCGCCATGACTACAACACTAATATAGACATTTTATTTACTATCCAGAACCACCAGTGAACCTACACGAGTCTTCTGAGTTTATATGGAATGTTGATGATGGAAAATAGTGGAGAATCTGAAATAATATGTTTTCTTTGGGACTATTTTGCCTCACAACACCCTGCATGTATCCCTCCACCATGAATGAAGTTTAAGGCCAAAATCTTCTCAAAACTATCATAAAACAGTGTCTCAGTCATCAGGCAGTGAATTCATAACCATTTCATGTAGTAACTTTCTGTGAGGGAGCTTTTAGAGGTGGATGTCTGGTTCCTGTCACCACCACTGTGAACAGTTCTGACTTGGTAAGTTTCTCTAGAAACTTTTCACAGCAAACCACCCTGTTGTCATCATGCATCCGTAGAATGCGACAAACAGAATGAACGAGTTTACATACATTGTGTTAGAAGGGTAAATGAAAGTATATGAAAGGGGAGTCGGTGCAGGTTTTAACTGCTGGCTTCTTGCTGTTCTGCAGGTGCATCGATGCCCCTGATGGATAAGGAGGGGCTCACTGCTCTAAGCTGGGCGTGTCTAAAGGGACATTTACCTGTGGTTCGCTGTCTGGTGGAGAGGGGTGCGGCCACAGACCATGCTGACAAGAACGGGCGTACACCCCTCGATCTGGCAGCCTTTTATGGAGATGCAGATGTGGTGAGTGTCGCATTATGGAACTGTACACTTACTGTCCACTATCAGAATCCCCTCTGTTGTAGCTCCGCCTCACTGCGGCACAGTTAGATGTGTTAGTCATCCTCTAGCTCTTCATCAGTGGTCAGTTTCTGACCACAGAGCCGCTCTTGTCTGGATATTTTTGGGTGGTGGTCCACTCTCAACCTAAGAGTGACTCATGCTGTGTCTGATGATGTGTGTAAAAACTCCAGCAACTCTGCTGTGCTGAGAGTGGACCACCACCCAAATAATATCTGGACAACAGCGGTCCTGATCAATCATGAATTGGGGTTGGGGTTGGCATTTCAGATAACATGGCCAGTTGTACCAAATAAACTGGCCAGTCTAATTTATACAGTGTCCCTCGTTACCTCTTTGTTTTAGTCTAATGTAGCCAACAAAAGCCATTATTATTATTATTAGTAGTAGTAGTAGTATTGTTGTTGTTGTTATTATTATTGTTATATTTGAAGTCATAATCAGGCAGAGCTGCCATAAATAGCATTAAATGTGTGAGGAAGTGAAATGTACACCACTGTAAGCTTGTTACTAACAAAAGGGACTATTATTTTTATTATTATTATTATTATTATTATTATTGTTATGGTAATAAACAAAGACTACTTTTAATATGAAGGTTTCTTCATCAAAATGCTGCTATAATAAGCAAGTTTAGCACACATAAGATAAAAATGTATGCATAAAATTAACGCTACTATTAATTTACATTAACGATGGTCATGATTTTATCATCTTGGGAGGAACAGTTGAAAATTTTAGAGGCCAACTTGGACCATAACAGCTTTATCAGCGTAGCGGGTTTGCTTATATCAATAACAGCAACGTTACGAGTGTCTAGTCTGTTAAACTGTCAACATTTTAGATGCTCACTATATCAAGTATTTTTATATTTAATCACTAAAAGCCTCTTTTTTCCCAATATCTGTCTTAAATAACGTGAAAATCCTGCTGTATTACCAGCATTATCCACCTGGAAGTAGGTTCTACTGTGATTCAGCTATGCTAATGTAGTTTAGTCAGTGTTTATAGACAACAGTGTGTCTACTATAATCAAGCCTATTAGAGATACTGAACAACACACAATTTGAGGCAGTTGGTAATGATTTAGATAGCCAGTTAGCACAGCGCTAACTGGTGGGGCATAAGTTGGCATTACTTAGCTCCAGTGACCTCACAGCGTCAGTAGACAGCTAAAGAAGGCTGATTGACTATGTTGAGGTTAACTGTAAATTAGATTTGTTTGTGGGACTGTTCCTATTTTTGAACATGAGTTTTAATAATGTATGAGGTCCCTCACTTTCTCAGCATCGCTCCGTCCCTCTCTCCGTCTCAGGTGCAGTTCCTGGTGGATCAGGGAGCGCTGATCGAGCACGTGGATTACAGCGGGATGCGGCCCCTGGACCGGGCTGTGGGCTGCAGGAACACGTCGGTGGTGGTGGCCCTCCTCAAGAAGGGAGCTAAGATCGGTACGCATATGGGACGCGCCTTAGCCTGACACCCCAGCTGTGCAGTAAGCGCAGCTTCCACAGTTAGAGAACCATATTAAAGATAAGCAACTGTTTATTAACATCAAGGGAGGGATGACTGAGCAGAGCAGTGAATGCAGCTCTGCCACAACTCAGGAAAGGCAGTCCAGTCCAATCACACTCGTCTGTTAGAACTAAAGGGTGTCATTGTGTCTCTGGCCGCCCCTCTCTGCTGCCCTCTCCAGTCTGCAGGGTGTAACTGCAGGTGTCTGTGTGTGTCTCTGTAGCTCAGCTTTTGCTGCTGCTTAAATTCGGCTTCTGTGGCTCTGTAGTGCTGTTTACAGCTGCTCGTGGTTCCTCTCTGTATCGGTCTGCATCTCAGAGTCTGAGGGGCCGAGTTCTGTTTGATCTTATGTCTCTCTCTCTCTCTCTCTCTCTCTCTGCTGTCTGTTTCCATTTCTCTCTCTCTGACACTGCAGGGGGGTATACTATAAAGCTCATTTTGGGATAGTGAGGTCACCTCTTGAAGTCTAAGGGATGGTTTGGTGAAAAAATCAAATGTACATAATTTCTTCTTATCCCAAATGTAGACAATCAGGTCAGTGTTGTATGACAAAATTACAGGATAAATTCTGACGTGAAGACGGCTGCTGCTGTTTTTATCCATTGGTTGTAATTATTAAACATCCATTTTTTTCTCAGCACATTTCTTAAATCTGTCCAGTATATCTACTATTTTAAAATCGTAAGAACATTATGTTTATTTTATTTTGATTATTTGTAGGTGTAAGTAATTTATTTATTTGTTTCAAGACACAAATAATCAAGAAATAATACCTGAAACCAGCAAAATGTTTCTGCTAATACAATATCAGTTTTGTTAAACAGAATAACCTAAAAACGAGCAAAAAATCTAGAAATTAGTTAAATGATCTAATAACAATCTTACAACAGTCTCAAAATTAGAAATATTGGTTATGTTAACTAGATTTAAGATCAATTTTGCTTCATTATTTACAGTCAAAGCAAGTATATTTAAGATGAATCACTGAGTGTGTTTACATGCACTAAATAATCCGATCATAATCGGTTTTCTGCAGTTTTCTGATTATTCAAATGGTCATGTAAACAGCACACTCTGATTTCTTAGATCAGAGTAAAGTCTAGAAATCTGATAAAGAGAGCTGGATTTTAGCTCAGTAATCAGATTTCTCAGTGCAGTAAACTCTTACTCTGATTTCATTTCTCAGTCTGCGCCTGGGTGAAAACAGACGGCGGTACTGGAAATAAGCGAGCAGCGTCGCCGCGAGACGCAGCCAAACACTTTAGGAGCGACGCTGAAACCAAAAACATACTTGATGAAATGAAGGATTTAAATATTCTTAATTTCTAGATGATGTTTGTTCATATTTTCAGGTAAAGTGGCGCAACGTTTTTTAAAAAAGCTGCTCATGAAGTCTGAGTTTTACGCTACGTTTACGTCGCGTCTTCTTCTTTCTGTGAGTTTATTGGCTGGTTGTAAAGCAGAAATCTGATTACTGCCTGACTCGTAGACCAGTCTCTCTCTCTCTCTGAGTCTCTCTCTCTCTCTGAGTCTCTCTCCCTCTCTGTCTCTGAGTCTCTCTCTCTCAGAGTCTCTCTCTCTCCCCATCTCTGAGTCTCTCTCTCTCTCTCTCTCCCTCTGTCTCTAAGTCTCTCTCTCAGAGTCTTTCTCTCTCTCTGTCTCTCTCTGAGTCTCTCTCCCTCTCTCTCTCTGAGTCTCTTTCTGAGTCTCTCTCTTCCTTTCTGTCTCTGAGTCTCTCTCTTCTTTTCTGTCTCTGAGTCTCTCTCCCTCTCTCTGTCTCTGAGTCTCTCTTTCTGAGTCTCTCTCTCTTCCTCTCTGTCTCTGAGTCTCTCTCTTCCTCTCTGAGTCTCTCTCTTCCTCTCTCTCTCTGAGTCTCTCTCTCCCTCTCTGTCTCTGAGTCTCTCTCTCTCTCTGTCTCTGAGTCTCTCTCTCTCTCTGTCTCTGAGTCTCTCTCTCTCCCTCTCTGTCTCTGAGTCTCTCTCTCTCTGTCTCTGAGTCTCTGTCTCTCTCTCTGAGTCTCTCTCTGGATGGTTGCTGTGTGAGAGGTGACTGCTGCAGTGCTGGTGTTTGTTGTTTTGTCGTTTCTTTCTCTTTTTTGGCTGGTGCTGTTGTTCCCTGCCTCTCACAGCTGCTTCTTCTTGTGTTCCTTCTCCCACTCCTCCACCACCACCGTCATTCTCTCTCCCCTCTCTCTCACCTCCACGCCCACGCACCTCTCTTCTCCTCCTCTCTTCACCCCCTTCCACTCCGATTGTGCCGCTCACTCCATCCCACTCTTCCTCGCCCTCGCTCCCCTGCTCCCGCCCTTTGACCTTTGCACCCTGACCTCCGGCCGCAGGATGTCAGACGTTGCCGAGTCGGCACAGAGGAGGTAACGCTCACGGTCGGGAGGTCCACGCCTCGCGTCCCAGCAGGCTTTCTGACAGCTCCTCCCTCCTCAGTGTGTTCTGTGTCCCCTGTTCTGTCGCTTCTCTGGTGGTTAGAGGGGATTGGCTATCGCTGTCACCTGACCCCAAAGTGACCTGTCCATGCTCCGCCCACAAATTGCTCAGTTTATATCACAGTACCTCCATTTAGAGTCGGTTATTCATTCAGCCTAATGAGAAACTGTAGAACAGACTCAGTTTATATCGCAATACCTACATTTAGAGTCGGTTATTCATTCAGCCTGATGAGAAACTGTAGAACAGACTCAGTTTATATCACAATACCTACATTTAGAGTCGGTTATTCATTCAGCCTAATGAGAAACTGTAGAACAGACTCAGTTTATATCACAATACCTACATTTAGAGTCGGTTATTCATTCAGCCTAATGAGAAACTGTAGAGCATGACTGTTTTGGTTAAAATGTCTATATTTAAAAAAAAATCTTTTGCATGCTTATGAAAGATTACACCATTAATATAGATCTAATAATAATAATATTATTAATAGTGATTATCTTACTCTGCCTACCATGAGGGGAAGCTTGAGGAAACACACTGCTCAGAATGGTGAATGGACAGAAGTACTAGTAAGCTAGAACAGCTAGCAACAGTAACAGCACAGACTTGGGAAAAGCAGTTACACTGTTATGAAACAAAGCTATTACACTGAAGACTTGGACTGGTTCACAGTCTTAACTAAAGACATCCTAATGCACAAGCTGAGGCCTCAAATCCTCCAGATCTCCAGGTAATCTCCACAGAGTCATTTCTCCTGTTCTCTGTTCTCTAATAGTGACACAAATCCAAAGAAATATATTCTGTATTAAAATATCTAAATTTAACTGTCTAATCCTTCAGTATTGCTGCGTTTTCTGTTTTTGATGCAGTGCGGATACGGCAGGTACTACAAGGAGAATAACTGTAGTACTGTCATGTCATGTAGTGGCTATGATAATTTAGCTGGCTAGCAACACAAAATCAGGCAAATGTACTGCTTAGAAACCTGCTCACTCAAGATGGTTCTTCAAGGGTTCTTTAGCAAAGGCAGTGGTTCCATTTGTTTGGGTGTCTTCTTTGCATGGTGAAATGGTTTCTCAGACTGATGGAGAATGTGTTGTATATGGTTCTACACTGTAAAAAATGTCTCGACAGATCAACCTAAAAAATACTTCACATGGTAACAAGTAAATAATTTTTTTTAACCTAAATAAACACTTAGAATGAACGATTCTTTCAATCAGTGTAATTTTTAGGAATAAAACTAGCTCACCTGTTTGTTACCACATGGAGTCATTTTTTAGGTTGAACTGACATTTTTTACAGTGTATTTTGAGGCTTTTTAAATAATGATTCCATCTAACACCAAAAAGGGTTCTGCTCTTTTTATGATCAAGCTTGACAATAAACAATAGCAGGACCCTTTGTGGTGCTATATAGAACCATATACAACACATTCTCCATCAATCTGAAGAACCATTTCACCATGCAGAGAAACATTTAAGCATGAAATGGTTCTATATAGAACTCATGGTCCTAAATAAACCATTCCCTTTACTAAAGAACCCTTGAAGAACCATCTTTAAGAGTGAATACATAATCAAAACAACTAGACCTAACCTATCCTAACAGTGTGACCTTCACTCACTCACACACAATAAAGATCACTTAACATTCATACTGCAGTAATTAAGTTGTGAGTTTCTTATTAGGTTGAATTTTGCCAATGTTCTGTCCAGCTTGTCCAGCCTCACAACAGTGAGTATGAAAGAATGCATTTGTGGGTGGAGCACAGACAGATCAGCGATCCTGATCACTGTTAACACTCATGTTCTTGGCCTTCTAATGTCCATTTTAACCCCTGTGTGGTGTTCAGGTCTGTGGGACCCATTTTCAGTGTTTACCAAAAGAAAAAATGATGTGATTTATTATTATTTCAGCCTCAGATTCCTTGTTCTTTGCTCATTTTCTGTGAAGAACATATAAAATAACCCATTTTCAGTGTCTTCACTCTGTTCATCCCCCACACATTTATATTACACATGTGGTGTTGGGTGAACCTGCGGGGAGTAAAAGTGTGGAGGTGCTGTGTCCTTCACTCTGTTCTCCTCCTACATGGCCTGCTGTTAGTGTGTGTGTGTCTGTGTGAGGGTGGACAACATGGACAGGCTGCTGACTGGCTACAGCTGCTAAAGGAGAACCCTACGCTGGACACTTGTGATATTTTAAACATCTGGTATTTTTATTGTTATGGCTGTATTGATTTAAAACAATAATGCGGTGGGTCCAGCAGACCACTGAGTAACACATCAACACCACACAAGGGTTAAAAGGTGAGATGATGGACTGAGCTGATGGTTTGTTCGCTTTGGGGGTCTTTAGGTGGAGCAAAGCTAAATCCAATCCACCACACAGTTCAGTGTCTGCAGCTCATCTGTCTGCTTGCCAAAGCTGTGTCCTTTTGCTTTGATTTCAGTTCAAGTGACCGTCCCAGAGCAGGAAACCGTCTCCTCTGCTTCGTTTGGGTTCTTGAGCTGAAACAGCATCAAATTTAAAGCCATGCTTCGTCCTTTTTGGTTAGAGAATGTTTCCCTGTGTCATTTTTCACTGTTTCATCGGTGTTTATGTACTATGTACTTTGTTTTGTTTACTCTTTTGTTGTTTTCACTCTGTATTGCCCAAACTCATGAGTTAGACACTCCTCCCATGATAACGGTGTCCTGAATTAGGTTACAGGTCACTGGAGAAAAGTGGTTTTATGCAGAAGGCATCTGTCTCTTTCCCTCATCCTGTGTCTGGTTGTTCCTGTCCTTGGTCGTCCATGTCCAGAGCACCCTGCACCGTCTCTGTCCTCCCTCTGTCTCTCTCCCTCTCGAGCCCTTTGATCATTTTTACCCATCATGCATCCTGTTGACCCTAGGTCCAGCAACGTGGGCGATGGCAACCTCCAAACCGGACATCATGATCATCCTGCTGAGAAAGCTCATCGAGGAGGGAGACGGTTTCTACAAGGTCAGCTCCCAGCATTCTGAATGTGGTAAAAATGTGGTTCTTCAAGGGTTCTAGTAAATGCACTGGTTCTGTTTAGAACCATGAATGCTTAAATGGTTATTCACATTAATGGAGAATGTGTTGTATATGGTTCTATGTAGCGCCAAAAAGGCTTACAATGTCAAGTAACAATAGCAGAACCCAAACAGCACATTCTCCATCAATCTGAAGAACCATTTAACCATGCAAAAAACCATATAAGCGTGAAATTATTCTATATATAGATCATGGTTATAAATGGAACCATTCGCTTTTTGAAAATGGTTCTGTGTAGCGCCAAAAAGGGTCACAATGTCAATTAACAATAGTAGAACCCATACAGCACATTGTCTATCAATCTGAAGAACCGTTTCACCATGCAAAGAACCATATAAGCATGAATTGATTGACTCATGGTTCTGAATAGAACCAACTCTTTACTAAAGAACAGAAGAACTTGAAGAACCATCTTTTTTAAGAGTGTAGGCCTGGGCTATAGGGTGATGTAATCAGTTGTTGGCGGCGATTGGCTAGTGAGATAATGATGCTTCAAAGGCGATAAAGAACTGATGGAAACGTATATAAACTAATGTTATTTTAAATAGTTTGCTAAATAATCTTAAATAATATGTCCATGTAATGTACTTCACTTACCTGTTAAAACAGCGGAGTATCACGAGGCATTAATAAAACTATCACGAGGCATTAATCAGCTCCCTCTGCTGCCGGTTTCTCAGAGCATGACATATCGCCTGAGGAAAACTTAGAGCATTTTCCATACAGTTTAGTCTTCCAGTGGTTAGGAGGAGTAAAATGATGAATATATAATACTTAATGGTTAAATTCATTTTTGAGTATGTAAAGCATGTGGGACATGGCTTTAGAATTCAGTTTTACATGACAGTCTGAAGTAGCTCCAGCAGGGGGTGCAATTAGCACGCTTTTGTGTGAATCATTTAAAGAACAAACAGCCACACAATGAACCCACACCAACAGGAGCTCAAGGATGCAGTCATACATAGTTAGAGGCAAACCTAGAGGCAAAATAGTTATTATTCATCCTGATTTAAATTTACAAACAAGCATGAAAGCCAAAAGTAGATCAGGGGCCGCATTACAGAAAATTCCTATCTTTTTGTCTTAATTTAAGATCTGACAGGTCAAGATAAGAGTTTTCACAAATTCATATTACAGAAGCAAATCTGATATTAATATAGGAATCTTAACTTATCTTACAGCATCTTATCTCAAGTTAGGAAATCTTACCTTACTCGATTGAAGTCAACAATCAACTATCCTGTCTGTTACCAAGCAACCGACCATACACACACAGCTGAAACGTAGACACGTAATCAAGTTAGTTAGCCAGACAGCTAACGTTAGCTACCGTTACTGAGGTAAAAAGGTCAAATAAAACTAAAGTGTGATGAACTGTAAGTAGTGAATACTGTGAGAGCGCCCCCTGCTGTTTATCAGAGCATCACCGCTCCCCAGTTTCAGTCTCCATTTCCCAAACGCTTTAGCCGAGCGCGCTAACGTTACTCCTCCTAATAAACAGACACACGTTCAGCTCCGTCTCCTCATTATTCACCACCATCACTGTAATATTTCATCATCAACATTAACACACGAAGGTGATCAGAGGGGCGGTGGAGATCGAGTCTGCAGCGTCTGAGATTTAAAAAAAAATAGTCAAATCAGCGTTTTCAGTGTAGATAAATGTGCCGTCATTATGCTGGTTATAGTGAACTGAGCTGCCTCTCACTGCATAAAACAACAGAAACAGACGGTTAAACAGAAGTTAAGACAGTTCTGGAGTTTATCTTAAAGTTAAGACAATATTTAAGATATTTTGGCAACTTAGGATGTTTCTGTAAAACCGTTTTCTTATCTGGAAATAAGATTATAGACTTAAGAGCTGTTGTTCTGTAATGGCTTCTGTCCTAACTTCAGTTTTAACTGAAGTTACCATGACAACAAAGCAGATAAGATATGAAGATATGGGGAATACGGCCCCTAAACTGCAGCAGACTTCATATCTGTGGGTGTCACGACGATAAAATTAAAAGTCCTGACTTTTCAGCTAGAAAGTTAAGCTTTAATTATTTGTAGAAATCACCCCGGCCTACTTTACATATGATGTGATATATTTTTTCAGTATTTGTTTATAATCCCTGTGTGTAACTGCTGTATATGTGTGGCACAGAAGGGGAAAGTGAAGGAGGCTGCCCAGCGTTATCAGTACGCTTTGAAGAAGTTCCCTCGCGAGGGCTTCAGTGAAGACCTGAAGACCTTTCGAGAGCTCAAAGTGTCTCTGTTCCTCAACTTGTCTCGCTGCCGCAGGAAAATGAACGTGAGTTTAAATAGTCGTTCTTCAAAATAATTACGGCTTCTGAAATTAAAGGCATTTTTAAAGTAGCACAACAAAGAAAACAACATTAAACACTTAAGCCTTGCAATCCTGAACACTTAAGCGTTTTCTTGATAAAAGAAATGAGGTGAATCAGAAAGAAAGAAAACAGGATGACTAATTTAAATGGTTTGAAGATGTTTATTATTATGCATGATTAGTGTTCAAAGGCATCTCATCCACAGCCTTAAGACTAATAACTGAACTTGTCTGGCTGAAATCACATCGTCCTTAAAGGAAGTGATTAAACTCAGGCTGTGAACTGGTTTTGCACTGAATCACACCCTGGTAAAATGTTTTGTTTGTTCCTCTTCTTTTAATATTAGGTTCTGATTAAATTTAGCAGAAGCAGTTCTTTTCAAACAGTAAATATGTTTTTATTCTGATGCAGGTGGTTCTACAATGCTATTATAAAAAGGTTCCCAAGTAGCAGCATTTTTTCCAGTTTAATAGCAACAATTCCAGTAATTTCTCCATCACTCCTCAGCAGCACCTTCCCATATGGAGAAAAATATATGGATGTGTGTTTTATATATATGAAAATATATTTTATAAATATATTTTTGCTCATGTTCATATATTGCAAAAATACATATTAGGTATTTTTATATATTTGGTAAATACGTACATACATACATACATACATACATCATCTAAACCGCTTATCCTTCTGGGTCGCGGTGGGGTGCTGGAGCCTATCCCAGCTGTCACTGGGCGGAAGGCTATTTGGTAAATATATTTGAAATATATATTTTGTTGACATGGGCTCTGAAGACAGTTTGTCCAGTTTTGATGTTAATACAAAATTAGGTGGACTCAAAACTCAAACACATTTATATAAATCTAAAGAAACATATAGTACTATAACTGATACCTGTGCTGCACCATTAGCTCAGCTCATATACACACCTGCAGGCAAAGCTGAATGAACATGAAGGACCCTCAGCAGTCTGTAATCGAACCAGGTAGGAGAGAAGATCAGCAGAGTTACCTGCTGCACTCCTGAAGACGCCTCAGGGGCCACGAAAGTCACAGTTCAGATCTGAATGAGTCCCACTGGTTACAGTAAGCAAGTGTTTTTATCAGAAGAGGGAGTTTTGTCAGCGAGTGCCTGAATTTGTCTTATTTTCTTTCACTCTCCAAGGACTTCGGGATGGCGGAAGAGTTTGCTACCAAAGCTCTAGAGCTGAAACCCAAATCTTATGAGGCTTACTACGCCAGAGCCCGCGCCAAACGCAGCAGCAGGTACGACAACCTCCACGGTCATTCCTTCTAAGGATTCTTAAAGAAAAATCAAATGTAACCAAGAAAAACAGGGTCAGTTTAGTAATTTTATGCTGAATTAGGAAGGTGGACCCAGTCCAACTTCAGAATGCCCTGCTGAAAGCAGCTCAGCTCACTATGTTCAAAAAGAATTTGTAAAGTATCAGGTCACCTTCTTAATTGGTATCGATTAGCCAGGTAGTGGCAAAGCCCCCAGTCGGTACTGTTTTTAACCACTTAAAACAGATTTGACTCTTTGGCCCAGTCCCATTTCTTCTTTTCACCCCTTCCCGTTGTTTTCGAGTGTTGCCCCTTGGAACTGATTTACAGGGTAGTGGTTGAAATCTTCCCTCTGAAATGGGACCCTCAAATAAAAAGAGCATCACTTCATTAACAGCTACCAGCGCTGCTCTGTAGGCGACCCTGCCAGTCTGCAGTGACAGCAGAGGAGGGTAAAGTTCAGCTCCTCACTGCTGGGCTTTAGTTACATTTAGGGCATCATATGATCTTCAAAGAGGGGGGCAGTTATTTATTATCACCCACCCCTAATTCTTCAGTGATATGAAGCTGAAGTCAGATATTCACCTGATTCTTGTTCACATTTTCCTGTTCCACTGTAAATGGTGCAGCAGTTACATTCTGGGGCTTCAGGCGTCAGAACTGCTGGACTATTTAAGGTGGAATGGGAAAGTTAGTTAGCTACCTACCGAAACATTAGCATGCTGTTAGCGATTTTTTATGCTTGTTATGAAGAAAACGACCAAAATACACTGAAACGACATTAAACTAAGATAATACAATGATAAAGGAGAAAATTCTCACATTTGTGTGTTTCTTTGGTCTCTTGTTCTTCATCTCGCCGGTTTTTCTTTTTTTCTCATATCTCTCTGTTTGGAGTCTCTGTTTGGCTGAGAGCTAAGTGGGAGGGGCGAGAGGTGAAATGGGATTGGGTCTTAATCCTTTGACTGATTTCCTTCTGCACTGCAGGCAGTTCTCCGAAGCTCTAGAGGACCTCAGGGAAGCCATGAAGTTGTGTCCCAACAACCGTGAGATTGTGCGGCTCCTGCAGCGCGTGGAGGAAGAGTGCAGACAAGTGACCCAGACAGAGGAGCCTGAGATGGAGCCCCCACCATCTCCACCCCCATCCCCATTACCTGTGGAGGAGGAGGAGGAGCCGCCTCGTCATACCCCGCCCCCCGAACCACGACTGGATGACATGGAACCCGTTCAGGATCTCTTCGAAGACGATGACTTCCTGGAACAGGAGCTGGAGGGCGTGTCTATTGGCCTTCCTCCTGAACCACGCTCCAACCCATCTAGCCTGCCAATCATCCACAGCCCACCCCTCTCCCCCGTCCCTCACGAGGCTGCCTACCTAACAGGAGGCCAGGCCTTTGAGTTCCACCCAAGCCCCACCTCCATGTCATCCCCCACTCACCAGAGCTACCAGTCCACCTCACCATGCGTCTCTCCCACACACCAGAACTCCCATTATCGCCACAGCCCTCCACATACCTCTCCTGCCCACCAGGCCTCCTACCGCTTCAGCCCTCCCCCCATGGGCAGTGGGGGTCAGGGGATGGACTACCAGAGCCCCCCACCTTCCCCTCTTCGCCGTGGGGCACCGTACAGAGCCAGCCCACCCATGGAGACTGTGTGTCTCTACCGTTCCCAATCGGGATCTCCTGTCCGCTACCAGCAGGAGCCTTTGCCCAGCCGACCCAAGTCACCCCTGTCCAAGATGAGCAGCCAGCGCTCCTTCCAGCTCCAGTCCCAACCGTCCCAGTGCTCACAGTCCTCCCAGCACCACCAGGCCCAAGGCCACCGGCTGCAGCCCTCTGTGGCTCAGATTGTGCGCACCAGCCAGCCCGGGAGTGGTGTCTATGGCCAGCTGGCCCACCCGCTCAGCAGCAGATACCAGGGCACATCCATGGATGTGGAACGGGAGAGGGAGCGAGAGGCCCGGCTGGTGTACCAACCCTCCCTGGATGGAAGGTCCATGTCTCAGGTGCAGTCCAGCCTGAGCGTGGGGGCCCTGTGCCAGCACGGGGGGCGAGGCGGGCCTGGTGGAGTCCTTGAGTCTGGTGTGGGGAAAGACGACGTCCCTCAACGGCCGGCTTCAGCCTACCGCTCTGCGACCGGAGGTCCGGGAGGCATGCGATTCAGCCAGACACCCCAGATCAGCCGTAGCCAGTCGGCTGCATACTACCCCGTCTCCAAGCATGAGCTGGAGAGGGCTGTGGCGGCGTCCTCCATGCCCCCCTGCCAGCTGGGCTCACCTGAGATCCCGCACCTGGTGCGTCGGCCCATCAGTGCGAACACAGGAGACCTTAAGCAGCATGTGCCCACCCCTAGACCCCTCATCCACTCTCAGAGCGTGGGCCTGCGCTTCTCCCCTTCCAGCAGCAACATCTCCTCAGGCTCCAGTGCTAACCTAGGCCCCGGCTTCAGGCCTTCCTCCTCCATGGCCCAGATGGAGATCCCACTGCAGGTGGCATACGAGCGCAGCTTTGACGAGCCGTCCTCGCTCTCGCCATCACAGGGCGGCCTGTACCCCAGCGAGCCGGCCCGCTCCAGGACAACACCCTTCATGGGCATCATTGACAAGACGGCACGGACTCAGCAGCAGTACCTGCATCAGCCGTCACGTGCCTGGCCCTTGGACAACGTCATCACCAGCCCCACGACACCGGGGAACCTGATTCACCAGGCGTCCACTGCTTCCTCCTACAGCCCGCCCACTTCGCTAGGCAACATCGCCTACTACAACAAGACCAACAATGCCCAGAACGGGCACATGCTGGAGGACGAGTACTACGTCCAGCCGCAGCCCTCATCCCTGGGCAAGCTGGCCAATGGCGGGGCCCGCGATCGGGATCTCCTGGAACGAGTTAGTCAGGTGCCCACATACCAGGATGTGAAGGTGGCACGGACGATGCCCGTTGCGCAGGCCTACCAGGAGAACATGTATCGCCAGCTCTCACGTGACGCCAGGCAAGGCCCCACCTCGCCCATCAAACCAAAGAGACCCTTTGTGGAGTCAAACGTGTAAAGAGGCCAGTGAGGCGTGAAGAGTGTATGATGAAAGAATGAGTGTGTGAGTGAGACGGTGGGTCAAGGCAATTAAAAACAAGTCAGTATTCGAAACTATAACAAACAAGGGAGGGTAATGACACATTGCAGCTTCATAAGAGATACTGCTGATGCCCCAATCTGTGCCTATTTCAGATGCATTTGAGGCATCAGCCTGTTCTAGTATCGAGGTTTAGAGCTTTAGAGCTCGAGTCAAAGACCTAAAGACAATGGGATCGAATATGATACTAACTACTGAATGTTCTACACAGCTCTGCACATTATTGCAAAAGCACATTTATGAACCTTCCCTGAGTCAAAGCCACAAATGCACAGATTGAGGAATAGTTGCAGTTCTTACCCCATACGAGTGCGAGTGCGTGTCTGAAGTGGATAAGACTGCGTGAGTCAGGGACTCTTCGTGAATCTACGTGCTCAACTCCTTCCCTCTCTCCACTAGGCGATTTCAAAACAGGACTCCAAGGCCTTCCACAGCATATAACGTTGGATCAATGCTGTCTAATAAAGAAGAAAACCTCTCAAACTCTGTCAGAAATAACTAACCACTAAGCTGTAGTCGCAGAAGGAAAACAAAGGAATATTTATAACTGAGTTAGATGTATAGAAATATCAAAATATGAACCGTTTCTGTGTTTTGTTTTATTTCGGGTTGTCTTTATTTTTCTATCTTGGAGAAATGGTAACTAATATTTTGGAAAAATGCAAATTCAGAGTTTATGGATTAAGAGAGGGGGAATGTACAAACTTTGAGAAACGCTTCCCGATAAGGAGACGATTCCTGATGTGCAGCTTCAGAGCTTGTTTTGTCGTTTCTGAGCTTTTCTACCAGTTCGTGCACAACGATGTCGAAGTGATCATTCGCGGAGGTTCTAAAAAAGACGGATGAGAACAAATGGACTATTTCAGAAAATCTCACGTGGGTCAAAGGTTGTACATGCCCCGCTCCACAACGCTTCAGGGGACTGAAAGAGAATTAATAGTATACTGATAGACTTTTTTTTCCGGTTAACAGTTACTGTATTGCTGTCAGTTATAAAAAGCATTAGTATATTTAGCTAAAGTATTTGTTTTAACCTTGAACATTTCAGTGATATTTTTAATTACTTTCTTGCTGCACTGTCTGCCTGTGAAAGTTCAGAAGAAAGAGAGCACTTTATTAATTTCACGCTGATGATTGTGAATCATTTTTCGGGTTGGGGGAGGGGTGATTAATGTAGGTATACAATGGGAAAAACTAACAAACATACAGTAAACACTGGAAAACTTTGTGAATTAGGTGTCCTACTAGAAAAAAAATACAAAATAGCAGTTCTTGTCTTTGGTGCAATTCAGATTTTTTTTTCCGAGCAAATGAATAAGCAGTAATTTAAAAAGAGCGAAACTATGTTTTTAAAAAGATATGAAAACATGTATATAATAGCCTTTATAGAGCGCGTTGTATTTGCTGTATATACTAGCCAAATGTGTTTATGCGTATGAATTAATTAACCCTCTTATAGCTACGTTCCAGGGTTACGGCTGCCGCTCGGGAGCCAAAACTGCGAATGCAGGAGATTAACAGTGGGCTGGAGGGGGAATAGTTGAAGCTAGAGCTCCCTCAGATGTGGACCAGGGTTCAGTAGCATCCACTCCTGAAAAGGAACGGCTCGAGAGAGGTAGTGTATTTTTAATATTCGAGGCGATTAGCATAATTTATGAAAAAAAGCTCTCTGCAGTGGAATGCAATATAGCCAATGTGCAGTGTTCAAACTGTGTCTTTGGTCAGATGTTCTCAATAAGGGACTCTAGACAGCTGCTGTCTCGAGCCTGTCCATACAGTCGGATATTACCGCTAATAACTCTTCGCCCCAGTTCATGCAGACTTGCCAGAATCAAGAGGTGCCTAACTGTTAGTTCTGCTAAACGACTGTAGACAGACATTCTAAATTCAAGGGGGCTGCGAACGTCGGTCTCTCTAGGAAGGGATAGTTTTTTCCAATGTAGATTACTTTGCTGTAAATACCGATGCATGTTTTATCCACCTGTGAGCGAACCGGAGCGAACCTGCTGTTTATCTGAAGCGAGAGGAAGAATGAAGTCGGTGCCCAAATAACTCATTCCGCCCTCGCATTCCTCCACACGTTAATCAACACAAACTACTGACCTCTGAAGGGTTGAGCTGAGTTTTTTAATTTGCATTTGAGTTCAGTTTAATGTACTTGCTTGCTGAGCTGAGTTCTCTTGTCTGTAAATGTGAGCTTTCAGAGCGCTGTGACAGTTCAATGACAACAATAAAACAGAATGTGTTTTTATCATACTGGGCGCTGTGATCTGTTACGAAGTCCTCGGGTGACTATTGATGAGTAATTTCGAATAATGAACGTTATCCTGTAGCTTTAGGTTCACATCTGAAGCTTTTCATTTACTACATTTACATTTAAGCAGTGAAACGGTTTGAAATGCGACACAATATAAAATCAAAGTGTGATCATTAAAGTTAAGTATCTGAAAATTTCTGTCATGCTGTACTTTTAACCCCTGTGTGGTGTTCAGGTCTGTGGGACCTGTTTTCAATGTTTACCAAAAGAAAAAATAAGGTGATTTATTATTATTTCACTCTCAGATTCTTGGTCTTTGCTCATTTTCTGTGAAGAACATATAAAATAACCCATTTTCAGTGTCTTCACTCTGTTCACCCCCCACACATTTATATTACACATGTGGTGTTGGGTGAACCTGCGGGGAGTAACAGTGTGGAGGTGCTGTGTCCTTCACTCTGTTCTCCTCCTACATGGCCTGCTGTTAGTGTGTGTGTGTGTGTCTGTGTGTGTGTGAGGGTGGACAACATGGACAGGCTGCTGACTGGCTACAGCTGCTAAAGGAGAACCCTACGCTGGACACTTGTGATATTTTAAACATCTGGTATTTTTACATAAATTGTTTTGGCTGTATTGATTAAAAAAAACAATGTGGTGGGTCCAGCAGACCACTGAGTAACACACACATCAACACCACACAAGGGATAAACATTCGCCTTCTCACTGTTTGTACCTGAAGTTACACAGCTAAATATGAAAAAATATGATTGAGTACTGATTTGACTGAACCTAAAGCAGAAGATCTGAAGATCTGCAGGCCGAACTGCCCCCAAACAGCCGAGGAGAACAGATGACGCGATGGGAGCATTTGTGTGACAGGGAGTATAATATGCATCGTCATTTTTGCATTACGGTACTTGTTTTGCTTTAAGAGATTTTAATGAAACATCTTACAGACTTAATTCCAGAAAGAAGTCAACTGTAAGCACAGCAGATGCCCGAGCAGAGCCCACTTTAAGAAACAGTGTGTTTGATACATATTTCGATACAAAATTAGAAAAGAAACGTGAACATCAAATTGTTTTGTAAATATGTAAGTTGTGTTGGCATGACAACCCACATCAGCCTTGTGATTGGTGAGGACCCTGCCTACACAGGCACTACCCAAGATTAGGCCCGCCCATTTCACAGAGAGGGCAAAATACACTGGCTATTTTTTGGCCATTGGAAAGTTACTGACAGCACACACTGTAGATGAATAGTGTGTTTCTTAAACTGTGCTCTACTCAGGCACCTGGGTTAAACACTGCTGTGGTTGCAGTTCATTTCATTTCTGGAATTAAGTCTGTAAGATGTTTCATTAAAACCTCTTAAAGCAAAACAAATGAAAGATTTTGCTTGTTTTTCACTTCACTGCTGTATTGGTAATCAAATTTCATTGGATGACTGAAAACCTCATAAAGCTGCAGTCTGGGGTGTTGCGCACTTTGCGCTTTACTATTTTGATCTGTCAGCATTCAGACACCGAAAACTATTTTGATATGAAACTGAGAAGTGAATCTGAGCTGACCCAGCTGTACATAAAGAACATGCAACATTTAGACCCTGTTTACACCTGGTCACATTATGCGTCTAGAGTATCAGGATTACTTCTAGATGAGGCCAAACCACATACAATTACAAGTGTAAATGCACCCAAGACGCATTTAAAACAGATACAAATCTGAGCACTCAGACCACTTCAGGAGGGACTGAGACGCACTTGAGCCACATTATAGCAGCGTAAACACATCAGTCTCTCCAAAACACATTTGACAATCAAAACCCTCCCAGTACAGCCAAAACTTCTTCCAGTACAATCAAAACCCCTCCCTGTACAACTAACAATCCTCCCAAAACAAGTAAAGCCCTTCCCAGTACAACTAACACCCCTCCCAGTACAAATGAACCCCTTCCAGTACAGCTGAAACTTCTTCCAGTACAATCAAAACCCCTCCCTGTACAACTGACAATCCTCCCAATACAATCGAAACTCCTCCCAGAACAACCAAAACTACTCCCAGTACAACTAAAATCCCTCCTAGTACAGCTGAAACTTCTTCCATTACAACTAAAGCCCCTCCCAGTACAATTGACACTCCTCCCAGTACAATTGAAACTCCTCCCAGAACAACCAAAACTACTCCCAGTACAACTAGAATCCCTCCTAGTACAGCTGAAACTTCTTCCATTACAACTAAAGCCCCTCCCAGTACAACTGACACGCCTCCCAGTACAATTGAAACTCCTCCCAGAACAACCAAAACTACTCCCAGTACAACTAAAGCCCCTCCCCGCACACAGTTGGGGATCAGACGAAATGAAATGCAACACAGACAGACTTTCGAGGACTCTCCCACAGGAAGAGGCTGAGCGGATAAACAGTTGGTAACTGGTTAACGTGTAACAAGCGGATTTGCATAATTCGTCCCTCACGGCAATCAGATTTCAGTCCGACTAACCAGAGACTCGTTTCACTACCAAGTGTAAATACATGAGGCGAAAATCTTATCAGGATGCAATCCAGATACTGGACACAGGAACTGACCAGGTGTAAACGGGGTCTTAATAACTTGAGAAAACATTTTTGGTGGACGAGCAAAACACATCCTGAAGTTAACAAGGAATCCGTTTGTAGTGGCTTCCAACATTTTCTTTGACCTGAAATGGGCCGAGTCTCTCAGAGGGCCGCAGCCACAACCTCAGTTCTACAAGACGCCTGAGACGCAGCAGATGAGCCAAATGAAGAGGGATGAAGGACAAGATGAATTTTGTGGAATACAAAGTGAAGAACTTAACAAGAAGAATGAAGATAAAAATGAAGCCAAGCACACTGAGGCATGTCTCAGCCATAACTGTCAGATTTGTATTAATATTGTTATTAATCTGTCAAGCTCGAGCCATAAGCCTGGGACTAGAAGAGCGCACATAAGCACAGACTAGAAGAGAAGGAGAGGCAGAGGACATGCAGAGGGAAGGTCATTAAGAACGGATCCTTGTATATAAAGTGAAAGAAGAAAGTGAAGATCATGCTCAATCAAGCGTTTAGATACTCCTGCAATGATGGTGCCCCATGTTTTCTCTACGGGGCAGAATAAAAGATGACGAAAAGACAAATGGATGAAAAGACAAAGACAAAGTAAATATCAGTGGCCTTCAATGCTTAAAAGTCAGAATGAATAATTCAATAAAAAACTCATTTCAGCACAGAGAGTCTCGTAAAACGTGTTCAGAGTACAAACAAAGGATGACTAACCTTCAGAAGCCAAGACTTTTTTGCTTTAATATTCACATGTAATTACATGGTTACATAACTATACACACCGGTCAGGCATAACATTCTGACCACCTCCTTGTTTCTATGCTCATTGTCCATTTTATCAGCTCCACTTACTATATAGGTGCACTTTGTAGTTCTACAGTTACAGACTGTAGTCCATCTGTTTCTCTGATACTTTGTTAGCCCCCTTTTACCCTGTTCTTCAGTGGTCAGGACCCCCATGGACCCTCACAGAGCAGGTACTATTTGGGTGGTGGATCATTCTCAGCACTGCAGTAACACTGACGTGGTGGTGGTGTGTTAGTGTGTGTTGCGCTGGTACAAGTGGATCTGACACAGCAGTGCAGCTGGAGTTTTTAAACACTGTGTCCACTCACTGTCCACTCTATTTGACACTCCTACCTTGTCAGTCCACCTTGTAGATGTAAAGTCAGAGACGATAGCTCATCTGCTGCTGCACAGTTTGTGTTGGTCATCCTCTAGTCCTTCATCAGTGGTCACAGGACGCTGCCCACGGGACGCTGTTGGCTGGATGTTTCTGGTTCTCAGTCCAGCAGCGACACTAAGGTGTTTAAAAACTCCAGCTGCACTGCTGTGTCTGATCCACTCTGACCACCCAAATAGTACCTGCTCTGTGAGGGTCCTGTAGGGGTCCTGACCATTGAAGAACAGGGTAGCAAAGTATGCAGAGAAACAGATGGACTACAGTCTGTAACTGTAGAGCTACAGAGTGAAACTATACGGTCAGTCTGTTAAAATGGACAGTGAGTGTAGAAATGAGGTGGTTTTAATGTCACGACTGATCAGTGTATGTGTAAACACTGAGTATACAGATGTTGCACTGAAACACTGACAACTTCTTTGCAGGAATGTTTCCCACATCAGCGAGGAGACTCTACTTGTTCACACTCCACATGGAAGAGGAAGCAGAGTCATGGGGCCGGACTTGTTCAGGAATGGTGACTGTGTTGCTTACAGTAAACAGCTCACCAACCTAAGCACAGCTAATACAGTATCTCTGCTCTTCGAGTCAGATATCAGGTCTATGGATATCTAAAGACATATATCTCCCATGTGTCAAACTCAAGGCCTGTGGGCCAAGTCAGGAACACTGCACAATCCAATACGGCCCACCATGAGCCGAGTGTCTAATTCAAGCAAATAGGCAGTTATATAAAAAAACATACCTCCTGGGGAATTTTAAAGAGGTTATATGTAGCTAATGTCACTTATTGTTTCATACAAAACAATTTGTTTTTATTCAAAATTGTTTTTGAATTGTTGAAGTACTCATATAATATTTAAGGTCTACTACAAGTTGCAGTTGTTGCAGTTTTGGCACAGCTGGCCCATTTTTGAATATGGTCCTTTTAGGGGTTGAGTTTGACACCCCTGATGTATCTTATAGACATACGCCAATCAGCATCACCACAATACCTTCAGTGGCCGTTTGCTGTTCATACTGTGACAGAAACACGTCCAGTACACCCCGGAAATGTGTACCTGACCACATGAGCTTGACTGGTTGAATCCTTACATTTCTTGTTTTTGTTTTATGTCTCCATGTTTGTGTTAAAATGAAATAATCCCTTTAGTGGTTCATAGTACACAAATACTATGGACTGGACCATGACGTCTTAGTCTTGCGTATGAAAGTCAAATTATTAATTAGGCCTATCATAAAGAGGACGGAGTAAAAAGTGCCTTGGAGGAATCCTGGAGATTCTGAGATTGATCTAGAACAAATCCCAGATGTGTCATTTCCACCACAGCTTCCGTTTACAGCAGATAACAGCAGCGACTCAGGCTGAACGACTGATGAACCTGAATAAAGCAGGTAGTATTTATTCTGAACACAGGCTGTAATCACTCTGAATGAAGTCAAGCAGATATTTGTGTAAGTGTTTCATTTCCCTCCAGGATCGTTCTTAAAGGTCTATGAGTGCAGCTGCCTAAACGAATGTCCTGTTTGTTTTTAGAGAGATTCATGCCCTCTGATTAAAACTCATACATACACTCTTAAAGATGGGCTCTTTAGAGTAACATGAACAATCAAAGAACCGTCTGCATGCTTAAATGGTTCTTAGCATGGCGTAATCGTTCTTCAGATCGATGGAGAATGCGCTGTATACGAATCTATATGGAGCCTTTCTGAGCAGGGTTCTGTATAGCACCAAAAACGGTCCCAAGCCAAGCTTGTAACAATAGCAGAACCGTTTCTGGTGCAATATAAAACACATTTCTGTCAATCTGAAGAACATTTCACCATGCAGAGACCATTTAAGCATGCAAATGGTTCTTTGAGCGTTCATGGTTCTATACAGAACCACTGTCTTTACTAAAGAACCATCTTTTAAAGAGTGTACACTAGCTTGAAGCTAGTTGCTTTTCTATTAATTGTTTTTGATTTGTACGGTGACGTACATCCCATATAAACAAAAATAATGCATGGCCATGCCTTATTAACACATGGGAACAAGATCCTAATGCGTAGCCACGACTTTTCAAGGCATAGGAATGAGATAATTAAGTCACAGCCACCACTTAGTAAGGTATGGGGATGATATCATCCCTTACTAAGTCATGGCCACACATTAGGATCTCGTTCCCACGCCGTACTAAGTCGTGGCCATGCATTATTTTTATTTATACGGAATGTCACCAGTGGGGCTCCATGGATTCGGCCAAATGTTCACTAAAAGAAATCAGATTTTAGTTTAAAAAAAAACAATGGGAACTCATTGAGTCCTTATGACTTTAAATAAAAGACTGAGCAGCCAATCAGGTAAGCAGTCATAGCAAGAATCCTCAAAACAACCTGATACCCGCAGCATGAAATATTAAATAACAGCTAGTCTGGCTTTCAGTAATACTCACCATCTGAGTAGCTCTTACTGCGATTAGTCATCATAGGAGTGCCAACGTGTTCTTGATCCAGAACAAAAGCAGCCTGGAATGTATGTCAATACGTCTCCACTATACAGTACAATTAATAAAGAAAGGAACAATCAAACTGAGGCCAGTTTTAAACAAGAAACAACAACAACAAAAAACCGTCCCCAGACTGGACGCCTTTGCTCTGCAGCCGTGCTGCCTGCACGCATGTTCAGCATGTATGAAAGCACGTGTGAAAGTATGTAAAAGTCAAAAGCCGTGAAGTTTCAGTCTCTCTTAGGTTTGGCTGTGAGGAGATGCACGAGGCCCGGAACCATCACCATCACCACCTGCGGCACGATGGCGTATCTGAGGAAGAAGAGGGAGTAAAAGAGCAGGGGCGGAACGGTGGGCAGAGGGAACTGGCTGATGTGGAAGAGGGCCAGAGAGGACAGGGCCAGGCAGAGTGTCTTTGGTACCCAGGGAGGAGCCCATCCTCCCGGCTTCCAGAACTGAGCGAGCCCCAGGCCGAGCAGAGATCCGGCATCGCGGGTCAGAGACGAGAAAGGAGCCGTGTCCATTCGCACCCACTCGGACTTAGAGCACCATCTTTTAGCCAGAGAAATAGACCTGGAGGCAGGGGTGATGGGTTTTCATGATAAACCGCAATACAACATGCTTTTCTGAGTGTGTAATGAATACTTAAACAGCTGGATTATAAAAAAAAAACAATTATAGACGGCCTGAAAAAATAACACCAAAAAACAGCTGCATAGTAACAAGTAGCTGATTTGAAGTCATCTCACTTTGTCATTATCTTATTATATTTATTTTTTAAAATTGTTTTGATTTCCTGTCCCTTATTAATGAAGTAAAAACAAAGAAAAAAATCACTGTGCCTAGTTTTTCCACAGACTGTCTTAGCTGTGTTGCTGATGCAATTTCAGGGTCTTTTTTATTGCTTTTCTCCATTGTACTGAACTCCTACCGAACCATGATGTCCAAACTGCGGTGAGAACCAAACTGTGGCTCCTGTGCACCGTTACACATCTAGTGCATATGGTGTGTAATATTAAATATAAACATACTAATCATTGTCCAGTTATCACCATTGACTGTTTTCCATTCAACTCCGGTTGACCGATGTTCCTACATTTTTTGCATAATTCTGTCACTGCGATGTAAACAAATTAATTCAAAGTGGTTTAATGTAAAATGGCTCGTTGTACAGAAAGTTACACACTCAAATTTCTTTACAGTGGTGGTGATAGGAACCAGGGGTCGCCATGACTACAACACAAATATAGACATTTTATTTACTATCCAGAACCACCAGTGAACCTACACGAGTCTTCTGAGTTTATATGGAATGTTGATGATGGAAAATAGTGGAAAATCTGAAATAATACGTTTTCTTTCGGGACTATTTTGCCTCACAACGCCTGCATGTATCCCTCCACCATGAATGCATTAAAATAAATGGATTAACAAGATGTTTTAGCCCAAAACTTGATCACATACTATTGTAAAACAATGTCTCAGGTATCAGGCAGTGAATTCATAAACATTTCATGTAGGAACTTTCCGTGAAGGAGCTTTTAGAGGTGGACGTCTGGTTCCTATCACCACCACTGTGAACAGTTCTGACTCGGTAAGTTTCTCTAGAACAGAGCGTTTCACACCAAACCACTCTGAACCAGTCTGAACCACTCTGATTACATCTTAACCATTTAATTATGTAGAAAGTTTGAAAAATTGGTTTAAGGGATTCTGGAGAAACAGAACTTATCAGTTGCTGGTCACCTCAGCGTCACGCACAAGGGGAAGGGACAGTCCATTAAAAATATGTAGGATTTCTTTTGTGTGTGTCTGACAGAAGCATAATGTAAACATCTGGAGATTTTAATGCTAAAAGTGCTTATAGTGAACACACTTCTTCTGGTATTGCCCATATAACAATGGCCACAAATTTAGTTCTGTTTGGGCACATTTTGTTTTTGAGACAGACGTTAAGCAGCAGCCAGCCAATTTGGGCCAGGCTATAAGGTGCATTTGTAGGAAAAATGTATCTGTATCATTAGGAAATATGTCTCATCTAAGACCACATCGTAGAATTAACCATCCTGTGTTGCGTTCTATTCAGTTCTCCCTCACATTCACGTTCCCCTACATAAATCAAGCCTCTGGGGGCAGTAAGTCAAATGCAACACTGGACTTGGCAGCAGCACAACAGCCTTGGGAGGAGGTACAACCTCAGGCCAGCTGGGACTTTCCAAGGCCTTCGCAAGGGGAGCGAAGTACCACCATGACAACACCAGGGAACAGGTTCGATTTCGGCTTTCTGTCACTCACTCGACTTTTGCTCTGTCAGACGTCAGTTTTTATCATTTAAATGTGTGTCAGAGCAGCAGGTAGTCAGAGTCAAGCCTGTACTGTGGTGATTGCACCGTTTGGGTCTGTAGCCTGCTTGCTAAGTTAGCCGTTCAAGCGTCCAAATACCAAAAACAGGTTTAATTTTACCTCAAATATTTTTTACCTTTAATTGTTTTTTTAAACTGCAGGGATACATTGCTTTTTTTCCACTGTGGTAAGAAAAAAATCCATATTTTCCTTTTCCTTTCCTTTCATGCCAGAGGAAAACAGTGTAATGTTGCAAATCCAGTAGCCAGATGACTTACCAGGAAAGATCGATTCCAAACTGTTCCAGCCCAGCATACATCAGCAGTGCTCCTAACAGCAGAGCCATGCTAGAACACAGGAAGAACACCAGGGAGCGCCATTCAGGCACTGTACGGTTTAGGAGCACTCCCAGCATCACCCCTGGGGAAAATAAAGTGAAAGAATTCATAGACACACACACACACACACACACACACACACACGCACACACACACACAAAATACAATAAAAATAATGTTTTTTTTCTGTGCTGCTTGCCAAAAGTTGAAATGATCAATATTAAAAAGTGATAGAAACCACTAGGCCTGTCCTAATTATTACATAACCACCTAATCACAATTATTTGAGACAACTGCAAATATTTAAGCTGACTAATCATGATGTCGTCAGATTTCAATCATATGATGCTGCAACAACATGTGAATTTTGTTTGCTGGTTTCATGCAAATAAATGTGAACAAAGAAAGCAGTAAACGCATTCATTGAGACATTATGGGAAAAAAAGAGCTCCAACTTGCTCTTAACATGTTTAGTGGGCTGCAGTGAGCAACGTTTGTTTATTCTTTAGCTATGTAGCTGATTCTCCTGTTTTAGGATGTATGCCAGCAGAATGAGTGTTTTTTGGTTATTTTCTCTCTCATAAAAAAGTAGCTTTGCTTAACTCTCCATGTTATTCTGTGTAACTGTAGACATTTGTGCGAGTGTGCGCAGTATTGTTAGCTGCTAGGTAAACATAGCTTGCAAATAAGGTGGCTAATCAGCCAATTTAGCCACTTTAAGCTTGTACGTTCCCTGGACAAAAAATTAGTCACCTTGCTAATTTAAGGTAGTAGTAACTTCAGGCTCCTGCATGAGGATGATCAGGCTATAAATACCTGCGGGGTGTGTGACGGGATTCATAGATTGAGAAAAGGTGGTACATGGAAGTGAATGTCTCGCTCAATGTGTGGAAAATGAGTGGCAAAGCAGATGTTAATAATTGGCAGAAAGGGTGATGCTACAGCCGTCCATGGCCGGGAGTCCAAGAGAGCACAATTGGCCTCTCTGGGTGGGTAGAATGGCCTCCCGTCTCCCCCCAGTCACTCAGCGCGATGACAGAACTGGCTGTTGGCGCTTTCCTCTGAGCACATTAGGCTGTCCAATGACGTTGGGTGAGCAGCAGTTCGAAAGGATGCGGTGGTGCTTCACATTTCTCGGAGGAAGCCTCTGTTTGCCTTCACCCTCATAGCATTGGTAGTATCATATGATTGGGGGAGTCCTAACTAATGGGGTGGAATTGGAGACGACTAAATTGGGGAGAAAATTGGGGGAAAAAAAAAATTGTCAGAAAGGAGTGATTATGTTCAGGCCACAGTGTGAAGGAAGGAGCTGAATCTGCAGGTGTATTGTAGTGTGCAGTCATACGGGTCGACCAGCAGTGGCAAAAATCCCAGTCTACAGGAAATTCCCGACAGAATTGTGGCCAAAAGATGAAACTGACGGACAGGGACCGCCGGCATGTTTCACAGTTTATAATAAAAATCGCTTCGTTTCCAAGCCAGAACTGCTAGAAGTCAACACAGATTCTTCACAACCAATTTCTGAAAGAACGCTCCACAGAGAACTGCATACCAGGAACATCTGGAGCAGAGCGGCACGTAAAGGTTTCTTCTGCTCACAGAGTTGCCGGTTACAGTGGATGAAGGGAACAAAAACTGGACTGTTCATGACTGGAAACGTGTTATCTGGTCAGATGAGTCTCTGCCTGTGTGTGAATGATGCTCGGCGTCGTGTTCATCATAGACCTCAGGAAACCCTCAATGAGGACTGCGTGCAGGTGTGGTTTAAGCTGGAGGGGCTCTGTGATGTTCTGGGGTGTTTTAATTACAGAGAAATGGGTCCTTTGGTTGAGGTGACAGTAAATTTGAACCACAGTGCCGACACCGAGCCTACATTTTTTTTGTCCTGTGAACTTATTTTCACTCTCATGAAAAATGTCATAACTTCAGACATTTGTGTGAGGTGCACAGCATAACAATCAGCCAATCTGGCCACTTCAAGCTTGTATTTCAATAGTTGCAAACAATGATTTATCTAAATTATTTATACAACTATTAACCGTCAGCAAATCTCATACATCACTTTGTATCACAGAATGCAAACAGCCATGACATGATGCATCATTAAGCTGCTATAAACACATCTAAACGCTCTGCTGTATTTCCAAAGACAATGAAATACACCTTAAAGGTCCCAAATCCTACATATTTCTGCATTTTGTTATACATTAAATAGGTCCACTTGTAAAGTTTGTGTACCAAAAACGGTCATAGGTCAGTTTTACATGACCATTTCCAACCTCTCCATCCCTTAGACTTAAACAGGCTGCTTATGTTACTGTGCCTTTAAGACTGGTGTATGTAAATGAGATCTGTTCTGATTGGCTGCCCTGCACTGTGCCTCGTTTAAAAAGCAGTCTGGTCTGAAACACACCTTATAACTTCAGTGTGAGTGGGCGGGGCTAAACTGCTGTAGGCTGAATAGGAGGATACATTTGTAAATGTGTTGGTTTTCATGAAACCACAAAAATAATGAATTCAAAAAACAGGCTGTATTTGCAGCTGCCATATTTGGACTGCATGTACTGGGGAACGAACGGTGTGTTTGGAAAGCTTTAACAACGTTTACATGCAATGTAGACTATTATTATTACTATTATTCTTTAAATGTAGTGCCCTCTAAAGTGAGATCGTCCACTGACCTGCCAGAACGCCGGCAACGACCTGGTGAGGAAAGTGCGCCAAGATGAAGATCCGAGACAGACTAACCGCCGCCAGCAGCACAGCGTAGACCAGGAAAGGCACTGCAGCCAGTAACTTACTGAGTCACAGACAAAGATTCATGTTAAGTTTCATGTTAAAGATTGAAAGGGGAACTCCACTGATTTTTCAAAATTAAGTGGTTAAGATGTAAATGAAGTCATTCAGAGCGGTTTGGTGTGAAACGCTCCGTTCTACAGAAACTTGCCAAGTCAGAATTGTTCACAGTGGTGGTGATAGGAACCAGACGTCCACCTCTAAAAGCTCCCTCACAGAACATTATTACATAAATGGTTATAAATATGCTGCCTGATGTCTGAGACACTGTTTTATGACAGCTTTTTGATAAAGTTTTGGCCCAAAATGTCTTGTTGCCATTTATTTTAATCCATTCATGGCGGAGGGCAAAATAGTCCCCAAAGAATATGTATTTTTCAGTTTTATCACTATTTTATGATCATCTACATTCCATATAAACTCAGGAGACTCGTGTAGGTTCACTGGTAAATAAAATGTCTACATTTGTGTTGTAGTCATGGCAACCCCTGGTTCCTATCATCACCACTGTAAAGAAATCTGAACCATTTGGTGGAATTCCCCTTTAGGTGCTGTACAACCTCATAATTATACACGAAAATTCAAGATAATCTTGAAAGTAAGAACTTCAAAGCTTTCTGACTGACCTGCCAGTGCGAGAGTGAAGGAAGGAGGCCAGAGAGGACGCCACCACCCACCAGACTGCACCAGTGATCATGGCATGACCTGAGGGACTACCTGAAAAGCACACACACAGTTTCAGTGAGAACAGGCTCTCGAGTACTAAATGTCAACGGTTGACGTCATGAACAGTCTGTTAACCCCGTAAATGGCCAGGACCTGCTGGTGGGCCCAAAGAGTAGCTAAGCCACTGTGCACTGTAGTCCACGTTGTCACTGAATGATAAACTGTAGTAAGTAATAAGCCTGGGATTTAAATCTATAATGCAGAAACATAAGCAGCTACTTCTGCCTTTTAATCTATTCTTTTCCTTTATTACCATCATTTTCAGTGCTTGTCACATTAATGTCAATATGATAAGATTATGCTAATAAATTACATCACAATATGCTTTTCTGAGCGGACTGTGGATTTTGTCAGTACTTGAACACTGTCATGGCGTGGTGGTGGTGTGTTAGTGTGTGTTGTGCTGGTCTGAGTGGATCAGACACAGCAGTGCTGCTGGAGTTTTTAAACACTGTGTCCACTCACTGTCCACTCTAGACACTCCTACCTTGTCAGTCCACCTTGTAGATGTAAAGTCAGAGACGATAGCTCATCTGCTGCTGCACAGTTTGTGTTGGTCATCCTCTAGTCCTTCATCAGTGGTCACAGGACACTGCCCACAGGACGCTGTTAGCTGGATATTTTTGGTTGGTGGTCTATTCTCAGTCCAGCAGTGACACTGAGGTGTTTAAAAACTCCAGCAGCACTGCTGTGTCTGATCCACTCAAACCAGCGCAACACACACCAACGCACCACCACCACGTCAGTGTTACTGCAGTGCTGAGAATGATCCACCACCCAAATAGTACCTGCTCTGTGAGGGTCCATGGGGGTCCTGACCACTGAAGAACAGGGTAAAAGGGGGCTAACAAAGTATCAGAGAAACAGATGGACTACAGTCTGTAACTGTAGAACTACAAAGTGCACCTATATAGTAAGTGGAGCTGAAAAAATGGACAATGAGTGTAGAAACAAGGAGGTGGTCAGAATGTTATGCCTGATCGGTGTATTAATCCTGCACAATTTGACTTCTTGATAAAAACATAATTCTGTGGAAAAGAAGGTTTTATACAGCTAAACAACAATGGAACAACACAAAGCCCTGCCATTTCAAGGGGTGTGTAGACTTTTTATATTCACTGCACCTGTGGTTTTTATGCAATTATTCCAGAATCCATAATGAGCTTTTGGGAATGCTTTGAGCTTAACTGTATTCAACATTACACACACTGAGCTGCATTAAATCTCATTAAACAGGACTAATTAAGCTCTCTTTGCAATCAAAGATGCAGCTGGTAAGTGTTTTTGATTACTGGCGATATTCACGATACATTAAGAACAGCATATTGAGTCATACTGTGATGTAATTTATCACGATAATGATAAATATCGTCGTATTGCCCAGTCTGACTTGGTATGAGTTATATACCCGCGCACAAGGTGTGTCTAGAGGCCTGGCCACTGATCAGTACATTAAAGGTCTCCTCTGTTGCCTCACCTGGTCCAGTTTCGCAGGTGCACTGGAACTGCTGGAGCTCCGGTTTGTTTTTCAAAAATAAACCAGATTCACCGATCCACCAGTACGGCCTCTGTCCAATCAGGATCCTACAGAATAACAGAATAACAGAATTCCTCGTTTGCCTTTATTATCACAGTTTTCTACAAACCCATTTCCCAAAAAGTTAGGATGCTGCGCAGAATGTAAATAAAAATAGGATGCAATGATATGTAAATCATGTAAACCATATTTTTAAAGAAAAATACTACAAAGACAACATTTCAAACGTTGAAACTGAGAAATGTTATTGTTTTTTAAAAAAATGTCCATTTTTAATTTGATGCCAACAACACGTTCCAAAAAAGTTTGGACGGGGGCCTGTTTACCACTGTGTTTCATCACCTCTTCTTTAACTCTGTAAGCGTTTGGGAACTGAGGAGACACTGCTATAGTTTAGAAAGTGAAATGTTTTCCTGTTCTTGTTTGATACAGGATTTCAGCTGCTCCTCAGTTCAGGGTCTCCTTTGTTGTATTTTTCATTTCATAATGCAGCACATGTTATCAGTAGTGACAGGTCTGGGCTGCAGGCAGGTCAGTTTAGCACCTGGACTCTTTTAATACAGAGCCATGCTGTTGTAATACATGCAGAAAGTGGTTTAATGTTGTCTTGCTGAAATAATCAAGGCCTTCCCTGAAAAAGACGTCATCTGGACGGCAGCATATGTTGCCAAAACATGTATATATCGTTCAGCATTAATGGTGCCCTCACAGATGTGCACGTCACCCATGCCATGTGCACTAATGCCCCCCTATACCATCATGAACACTGGCTTTTGAACTGTGCACTGATAACAAGCTGAGTGGTCTTTAGCTCGGAGGACACAGTGTCCATGATTTCCAAAAAGAATTTCAAATGTTGATTCGTCAGACCACAGGACACTTTTCCACTTCCCCTCAGTCCATTTTAAATGAGCTCAGGCCCAGAGAAGGAGGCAGCGTTTATATTTAGTTTCTTCTCTGAGTTTTAGAGTTTTAACAGCATTTGTGGATGCAGTGATGAACTGTGTTCACAGACAGTGGTTTTCAGAAGTGTTTCTGAGCCCATGCAGTGATTTCCACTACAGAATCATGTCTGTTTTTAATGCAGTGCTGCCTGAGGGCCCAAAGATCACAGCCAGCATGTACTGGTTTTTGGTCTTGTCCCTTACATACAGAGATTTCTCCAGACTCTCTGAGTCTTTTAATGATATTATGTACCGTAGATGATTAAAAGCAAAAGTTCTTTGCTATTTTACATTGAGAAACATTATTCTTGGATTGTTGCTCTATTTGCTTGTGCAGTCTTTCACAGAGTGGTGAACCCCTCCTCATCTCTACTTCTGAAAGACTCCACCTCTTTTATACACAATCATGTTACTGACCTGTTGTCAATCAACCACCAGGTGTTTTTTTTTAGCATTACACAACTTTACCAGTCTTTTGTTCCCCCTCCCAACTTTTTTGGAACGTGTTGTTGGCATCAAATTCAAAATGGGTAAATATTTTTCAAAAAAAACAAATTTTTCAGTTTCAACATTTGATTTGTTGTCTTTGTACTATTTTCAACTTTGCACATTTTGTTTTTATTTACATTTTGCACAGCGTCTCCCAACTTTTGGAAATGGGGTTGTAATATAATACAATTCTACAACATGGCAGTGGATAAAACAGTGTGGAGAGTTTGATCCCCATCTACCGCAAACAGTCTGCAACACCAGACCCAAACATACAATCCAGCTCCAAAAGTATCCAGACAATCCTTCAAATGAGTGAATTCAGGCACTTAAAGGTGCTGACACAGCTGTTGCACACAGCTTGTATAATCTCCATAGAAACGCAATGACCTACAGAATGGGACGAAAGAGCCACACTTGAGCCTGAGGTAGTGAGGCAGGAGTGTCCAGTCTTACCTGCAAAGGGCCAACGGGGCTGCAGGACCAACTGAAGGCCGAGACCAACTGATTTAACGAGCAGAATCAGGTGTGTTCAGAATAAACACCTGCAGGCACTCTGGCCCTTTATGGATAATATTGGACACTCCTGGCTTAAGGTCTTCGTGCCCAATGCCCAGCGAGGGTTAGAGGGGTATAAAGCCCCCCAGCATTGGGCTGTGGAACAGTGGAACTGTGTTCTCTGGAGTGATGGAGCTCCATCCAATACCTTTTAATATAAAATTAATCAATCATTCATCTCTTCAACACAGAACAGCATAAAACATTAACACTGCTGTTATATTTTTAAGAGCTTTTAAACTCGAGTTATAGGAGTTTAAAACAGCACCTCATGTACAGCCATGACGTCTGTGAGCGCGAACAGCCAATGAGCTGCTCCGCTCACCGACCAATCAGCACTCAGTAGCCCGCCTCCTGCTGCCCAAAACCCGTTTGCTGTATGAAAAGGAAACATACAGGTGAGATTTCTTTGTTTTTTTAGTGAAATCCATCCTTCTACTGTCTAAAACTAAAGGAAAGTTCTGGTTCTAAAAAAACTATTTTAACCTTGTTTTTAGCTGTTGAGCTCCATTCACTTCCATTCATTAAGGACTTGCTCACGGGCGCCCTCTGCTGTTTAGCAGGCCTGTTTTTGATATAATGGGGGTAATAGGAAGCGGCCAGACTCCTCATAAACGGCCCCTGTTCTAACTTTACCAGATTACCTAATTGGTTAGCATCACTGCTACTGAGCGCTGATTGGTTAGCCTCACTGCTAATGAGAGCTGATTGGTTAGCATCACTTTTACTGAGCGTTGATTGGTTAGCATCACAGCTACTGAGCGTTGATTGGTTAGCAACACTGCTAATGAGAGCTGATTGGTTAGCATTACTGCTACTGAGCGCTGATTGGTTAGCATCTTTGCTAATGAGAGCTGATTGGTTAGCGTCACTGCTACCGAGCCCTGGTTGGTTAGCGTCACTGCTACTGAGCGCTGATTGGTTAGCATCACTGCTACTGAGCCCTGGTTGTTTGGCGTCACTGCTACTGAGCCCTGGTTGGTTGGCGTCACTGCTACTGAGCGCTGATTGGTTAGCGTTACAACTACTAGGGAAGCGGTTTGCGCTCAGTCTTATAACTAAAGTTCAAGAATATTCATAAATATATCAGCAGTGTTAAAATGTTTTCCGCTGTTCTGTATTCAGGAAATAAGCGCATCTCCTACAGAAACATGTTTAAACATTGACCAACTATGCGCCATAGTAACCCATTCATTGTGGGCTTGCTCGGGAGCGCCCTCTAGCGTCTGACAAACCCGGAACACATTACTGCGTGGCAGTTCTCTCCGCTCATTCTCTGATAGGAGCACTTTTAAAACAGACCTCACTCTGAGGTTTAGGGTGCTGCATCACTAAACCTCATACCGGTACTACGGCGTAACGGTGCTGTTTAAGCCCCCTCAGACGAGCCTTTCCTCAACTTACCATTTAAAAACCAGATTGAGCCACTCAGACAGAGCGGCCACCCAAACCACCGCGACGCCGGTGCGGCGGTGCACATAGAAGGCGAGCGGGAACACAATCAGGAAGGCGGCTTTAGGGTCTCCGATATGAGTCGCGAACAGCCAGAAATCCTCGTATTTCCTCGTTTTCGACTGAAAAGCCTCCGCAACCCAAATACCCTGGACATAAATGGTCTCCATTTTTAGGAAGGAGTTTTAATAACTGGAAAACAACACAGAGACCCGGGTGAAAGGTAGCGAAGCCTGCTAGCTACATTAACATCAGGTGTCGCTGACTAGCAACGGTGGCAGTGGCTGCGTCCCAAATGGCGCTCAGTTAGTGCACTACTTGGGTCACGAAGTCGGAAGTCGTGATTCCCATCTAGTTCACTAAATAGGGAGTTCGTGAGCCATTTAAGATTCGGCCAGTGTAGTAACGTTTTTACCGGTGCGTTACGAGGCTGGATTTAGCTTCTTATTCTAACTTCGCGTTCCACCTTAAATGCGGCAGCAGTTACATTATGCATGTCTATTCAAAATGGAACAGCTGCCCCATTTAAGGTGGAACGGGAAGTTCGAAAAAGAAGCTAACATCTGTTTCGTCTGTTGTTGTCTGACTGATACGGAGAACCTCAGCCAAATAAAATCTAATTAAATAACCAATAGAAGTTTTTTTTAATAGCTCGTCGACACTCAGCATCTGTTTTTGATTTTTGATGCATTACGGGTACTACACTGGGACAAACAGCAAGCGTACCGCGAAGAGAGAGCCCAGTTTTAAAGGGGAACCCCACCGATTTTTCAAAAAAGTCTACATAATTAAGTGGTTAAGATGTAAACAGAGTGGTTTAGAGTGGTTTGGTGTGAAACGCTCTGTTCTAGATAAACATACCGAGTCAGAATTGTTCTCAGTGGTGCTGATAGGAACCAGACGTCCACCTCTAAAAGCTCCCTCACAGAAAGTTACTACATGAAATGGTTATGAATAAATTTTGACTTAAAATGGATTTGAATAAATTTATTTTAATCCATCCATGGTGGAAGGATTCATGCAGGGCGTTGTAGGGCAAAATAGTCCCCAAGAAAAATTATTTTCAAATTTATGACTATTTTTCCATAATCAACATTCCATATAAATATATATAATAACTCAGAAGACACGCGCAGATTCACTGGTGGTTTTGGATAATTAGTAAAATGGCTGTATTTGTATCACCACCACTGTAAAGAAGTTTGAGTCTCAAGGACATAATTATTCAGGGACTTAATTGTTCAGAAATTTTGAAAAATTGGTGGACTTCCCCTTTAAGGACAGAACGTGTAGAACTGCGCCATCTGCTGCTTGCATTCAAAACATTTTGAATGACCATTCATTTCGCCATAGAGACGTTTATGACGGATTAAAAAAATCAGTAAAAGATGAAATTTTGGTGAAGCCATAATTTTAGGAACATACAAGCACAGCATAATAGTAGCACATTTGGTGAACTGTATAACTGGAGATTAAAAAAACAAACAAACAAGCAATTGAACTACAAAACCCATGCTTCAGTGCTGGCTCCTCCCAGTAAAAATGCCTGGTAGTGATGTAATGGGCACCACAGACTTTGTAGTCCATTTTGGGGAAGCACTCATATAACCTGTATTTTAAACATACTTCAGCCACAACAGCATTAGTGAGGTCAGGTCCTGATGTTAGATGGTCAGTTCTGGATCAATAATCATCCCAAAGGTATTGGATGGAGCTCCATCACTCCGGAGAACACAGTTCCACTGCTCCATAGCCCAATGCTGGGGGGCTTTATACCCCTCTAGCCCATGCTGGGCATTGAACATGGTGACCCCTAATGTAGAAATCCTCACTGTTTCTTTTAATTATAGGCAAAGTGAGGGTTTTGTTCCCAAATCTTAACTTTAAAAGTCAACCTGAAATTAAAACTGACTTATTAGTTTGTCCTTTTAAGCATGATTCAATACATCATTTAAAGGACTACATTTTTGTTTTCTCTGTAATCTTCCATCAGACTGTAGTGACTCATTTAGCCTCACCTCTAAACTATCTTTTGAGTTTTGATTACCTCACCATGCACCAGTGGGTGAGGCAAATAACACTGACCAATAAAATCATGTTTCGTTTCCCCACTTATCATGGAGAGAAAGGCCATGTTAGCTCAGAGACCCTCCTTGATGGTGACCCTCCTTGGAAAAATGGCATGTTTCTAACTCAGAAATGAAACTTCACCAACTTCACTAACACAAAACAAAAAACAATTATTAATTGTTATTTATTAAACAATTGTTATTAATTATTAAAGATGAAGGCCTCACAAATACAAGCGTTAACCTGAGTTGCCCCGTCTTAAATGAGCTCTGGCCCAGAGAAGGTGGCGGTGTTTCTGGGTCCTGTTTATGTAGTTTCTTCTTTGTGTTTTAGAGCATTTGTGGATGCAGTGATGAACTGTTTTCACAGACAGTGGTTTTCAGAAGTGTTTCTGAGCCCATGCAGTGATTTCCACTACAGAATCATGTCTGTTTTTAATGCAGTGCTGTCTGAGGGCCCAAAGATCACAGCCAGCAAATACTGGTTTTTGGCCTTGTCCCTTACATACAGAGATTTCTCCAGATTCTCTGAATCTTTTAATGATATTATGTACCGTAGATGATGAAAAGCAGAAGTTCTTTGCTGTTTTACATTGAGAAACGTTATTCTTGAATTGTTGCACTATTTGCTGGTGCAGTCTTTCACAGAGTGGTGAACCCCTCCTCATCTCTACTTCTGAAAGACTCCGCCTCTCTGTGACGCTCTTTTATACCCAGTCATGTTACTGACCTGTTGTCAATCAACCACCAGGTGTTTTTTTAGCATTACACAACTTTACCAGCCTTTTGTTCCCCCGTCCCAACTTTTTTGGAACATGTTGTTGGCATCAAATTCAAAATGGGCAAATATTTTTCAAAAACAATAAAATTTCTTAGTTTCAACATTTGATTTGTTGTCTTTGTACTATTTTCAATTAAATATAGGGTTTAAATGATTTGCACATCATTGCATTTAGTTTTTATTTACATTTTGCACAGCATCCCAACTTTATTGGAAACGGAGTTGTATTTATTAATATACCTTCATTAAAATAATAATCACAATATATAATATCATAATATTAAAATGTTCTATTAATATCAGCCCATTTCACCATGAGATGCACTACAGTTCCCAGCATGCACTATAACATAATGTGTGCTCCCACCCCTCCCCAACAATGATCTATGGCACAGCACCAGAGGTCAGGGGTTACTGAGGTCCAGAGAGGCCATGAGCTGCTGCTATAATTTTCTGGATTGTTCTCTTGAGATAACGAGTTAATTATCTTGTGATATCAAACTAACAACTGTGTTATCTTGAGATCAGAAGATAATTAACTCGTTATCTCACGATAACAACTGTTGTTGTCTCGCGATAGCGAGATAACTAACTCGTTATTTCAAGATAACAACTTTGTTATCTTGAGATAACAAGATAATTAACTCGTTATCTCAAGATAACAATTTAGAAAATTATAACTACCTTATGTGTCTAGTTCAAGCGAATGGGCAGTTTTAAAAAAATAACTGGGGACCTTTAAAGAGGTTTAACAGTGATCTGCAGATAATGTAGTTTACTGTTTTATATAAAACTATTTTATTTAACCCTTTAATGTCTTCACCAAGAAAAAAGCAATGGAATTTTATTTTTGTATTTTTTATTTGTTTGGGGCAATAATAAAAACAACTGGTGTTTTTTTTGTTTGTTTGTTTGTTTTTTTGACCACACAATTTTTAAAATATACACGTCTACCAAACGGTTCAGAAGACACTTTGTGGCATATATAGTAACTCAAAATGTGCTCTACCAAATGGTTGAGCAGAACATTAAAGGGTTAAAATTATCTTTGAATCGTTCAAGTATTCAGTGCCTATTTTTTGCAATTGTAGTTTAGGGATATTTTGAATAACAATGGCCAGTTGGGGTCGTAACAAAATGTTAAGGAATAATGAAATAAAACACAGCTGGCCCACAGATTTGCTGAGATTCTTTAATACGGCTGAGTTTGACACCCCTGAGTTATAATATCCCACTCACAACTTTAATAATCATCTGCAGCTGTACTGGGCCTGTTGGTAGTGTGAACGCACTTTTTTTTGCGTGGTTTATTATTATCAATATATTGAACTGTAAAAGTTTTAGCAGTTTTGTGCTGTTGATATGCTTCTAATTTTTAGATTATCCCATTTCCCTGTGACGTTCAGCTGGTTTTCAGGTGGGATTTTTTAATTTAGTTTCGTTTTATGTAGTAAAACATTTTCAGTTTCAGCAGCCAGGCAGGCCTGTAGGCAGTGATCAGACACGCCATCTGTGTTTTACAGGTTTGAAGAACTAACATGACCGGTTTTCGGGCCTGTTTTTATTTCCTGTTTCTTACTTTTTTCGTTCTGTAGTGTTTACTGCAGTTAAAGGAGAAACACAGCTGATGCAGACGTCTTCGTGCTTTATTAAAGGCTGTATCGGCCGCAGCCACGCCGCACAATGAGCGAGGCTTTCCGCTAACAGCTCGCTCCACACTCAGCTTGCGCCTGCACTCTCTCACTTCCGAGCTCCCACTGACACAGTTCTTCCAGCTCTATTATAAACAAGGCCAAGGAAGGCATCACAATGCCAAGTGAGAATAAACACAGGAAATAACTGCTGGAGAGCAATAACCCAGAATAAACAACATGCAGAACACTTTCTTGAACATCCTACAATACTTTAATCATTTTATACTATTTAAGTTTTGTATTTAATATATTTGTTTAATATTTTTTTTTCTTGGATATAACAATTTTTACGCTACACTCTTTAAAAATGTGGTTCTTCAAGGGTTCTTTAGTAAAGACAATGGTTCTACATAAAAAAAAGACATTTTTGGAGAATGTGTTGAGTACGGTTCTATATAGCACCAAAAAGGGTTCTGCTGTGTCAAGCTTGTGACAACAGATGAAGCCTTTTTTTTTGGTGCTACATAGAACAATTTTCAAAAAGATACTTTATAGAACCATATACAGCACAAGAACCATTTCACCATGCAGAGAACCGTTTAAGCATTGCCTTTACTAAAGAACCTTTGAAGAACCATCTTTTTTCGTGTACTGTTTTCATCACTGTATACTATTTCAGGTATTTTCTGTATTTAATCTTATGGTTGTTTAATATCGGCTCAATTACGTACGTGTATTATTAAATTTTTTTCTTGAGCAGCCTTAGTTTTTACACATTTTTGTGCTATTTCATTTCGGTTGAATGACTTTTATTCCGTTCTCTAATGAATTGCATTCATTACTTTTATTTATCATCATTTTTTGTTTCCGTTTTACATTTTGTCACTTTTTTGCGTTTACAAAAATATGTTTTAATAGTTTTCACCCCGATTTTTAGTCCCGTTTAGTTTCAGCGTGGTGTGTTTATATTTTGGAGGTTTGTATGAATGGGTGAAATGTCCTCCGACACGCCCCGTCTCTGTCCGCGGTGTGTGTCCGCCGTAAAGCGGCGCTCTCCGGGTTTCCCAGGCGGAGAAGATGGCGGCTCCTGGACCGGGGGAGTACTTCAGCGTGGGCAGCAGCGTCTCCTGCCTCACCTGCCTGGGCCAGCGCCTGCAGGGAGAGGTGGTGGCCTTCGACTACCAGACCAAGATGTTAACTCTGAGTATCCTTTTTTTGGTCGTTGTCCGCCGTCGGTTCCCCCCGATCGCGGCCCGGTTTCGCTGAGATGTGTCCGGCTGAGCGTGTTTACGCGCCGGGAGGAGCTGCGAGCTTTAGCCGCGGTGCTACCTCAGCTAGCGCTCTCGCGTAACTCATTCAAACCGCGTCCGCGCCGAGTTCTCCGGCTTTGTCGGTCGTGTCGCCGCCGTTAGCGGCTTTACTCGCCGGTCGAGCTTTGGCGGATCCGCTGTGGCCGTGTGTTCGCCGAATTATTTGTGGTTATTGATGAGGCTTCTTATTCGCCAGCTTCTTGTTCGAATTTACCCGTTCCACCTTAAATGGTGCAGTAGTTCCATTCTGGCGACCCAGGCGCTAGAATGGTACTGCTGCGCCATTTAAGGTGGAACGGGAAAATTCGTTTCGATTAGCTTAGCCTAGCCGTTTAGCCTGTCCTCCAGCGGGCGCACGTTAGCGTCAGTTAGCCCGCACACCTTCGGGCTTTACTGTAGCGTATCCCGTTACACATCTGCTCGTTTTTGAGTAAAAATTACTTTATAAATTCTGTAGTATGTCATATTATATTAGATGTAAATATATTGGGGAAATCACTCAGATGTCGCTGTGTTTATCGATTGGCTAACGCTAGCGTTTAGTTAGCTAGGTTAGCTAACCTGAATGCTTCCACCGTTTGTGTCAGCTACGCTAAATCAATCCACGATAACATGTTAAAGTTGTTCTTTGTAATCAATAAGCAGTTTGCAGTCACTGGTCAGAACAGCTGGCTAGTTTCAGGTCATTTATTCAGATTAAACCAAGTGCTCTTTAAAACTCTCCAGTTTGCTGGCTAGCTGAGTTCACACTGCGAGAAATGTCACTTAAGTGGACTTCATTCTTGACCCCGTGTGTTGGGTGTTAACTGGTGGATTTCTCCTTTTTCATAAGTTCCTCATAATTAAATGGTTAAGATGTAAACAAAGTCATTCAGAGTGGTTTGGTGTGAAACGCTCCGTTCTAGATAAACTTACAGAGTCAGAACTGTTCACAGTGGTGCTGATAGGAACCAGACGTCCACCTCTAAAAGCTCCCTCACAGAAAGTTACTACAGGAAATGGTTATGAATTCACTGCCTGAAGTCTGAGAGGTTGCCTTATGATAGTTTTGGTAGAAAGTTGTAGTCTTAATGTATTGATGGCGGAGAGGTATATGAAGGGCGTTGTGAGGTAAAATATTCCCCAAATAAAACCTACTTTTTCTGATTTTTTTTTTTTACCATCATAAACATTCCAGAAGACTCGTGTAGGTTCACTGGTGGTTCTGGATAGTAAATAAAATGTCTATATTTGTGTTGTAGTCATGGCGACTACTGGTTCCTATCACCACCACTGTAAAGACATCTGAACCATTTACATCAAACCACTCCAAATGATCTGGACTAAATTAGTCAGAAATTTAGAAAAATTGGTGGAATTCCCCTTTCATATAATAAGAAATGTCGCTTGAGTGAACATCGGTCTTGACCCCTGTTAAGTGCCTTGGGTGTTAACTTGGTTACAGGTGATAGTGGTTTCTTTATTTTGTGGTTTGTCACTGATTTCATGAGGTTGTTTCTGAGGGACATTGAGTGTGTGTGGTGTGGCAGGGTGGCTTTTGATTCATTCATCATATTTTCTTGGGTGAATAAGCCTTTTATTAATTTGGGAATGCAAATTTGGCCAAACCGAATGGCATGAAACCTTGAACTTAAAGGATGATTGCACTGATTTTTCAGAGTTTCCGCGTAATTAAAGAGTTAAGATGTAAACAGAGTGGTTTGATGTGAAACGCTCAGTTCTAGAGAAACTTACCGAGTCAGAGCTGTTCACAGTGGTGGTGATAGGAACCAGACGTCCACCTCTAAAAGCTCCCTCACAGAAAGTTACTACATGAAATGGTTATGAATTCACTGCCTGATGACTGAGACACTGTTTTATGATAGTTTGAGAAGATTTTAGCCTTAAAATTCATTCATGGTGGAGGGATACATAATACGCAGGACATTATGAGGCAAAAATAGTCCCCAAAGAAAACGTATTATTTCAGATTTTCCATCATCAACATTCCATATAAACTCAGAGGACTCGTGTAGGTTCACTGGTGGTTTTGGATAGTAAATAAAATGTCTATATTTGTGTTGTAGTCATGGTGACCCCTGGTTCCTATCACCACCACTGTAAAGACATCTGAACCGTTTCACACCAAACCACTCTGAATGACTTTTACATCTCAGTGATTGAAGTTCCCCTTTAATGTATGAGTTTATGTAGTCTGCTATAAGAGACACGGCACCAAAATTACCACTTCAGAGGCTTCATGGTCGGTTTGGGTTCAGGTTCAAATACAGGTTACGTCCTTGGATGCGTCCAAAACCACATGCTATATTAGACTCTGCGCAGACGAATGTGCTGCATATGCTGCTGTCGTGTTTTGATAAACTCTTTAGTACGTCTGTATGCGGTTTAGGACACAGCCTTTGGTTTGTTCTATTGCCGGAATGCTTCAGTTTTTATGTGCTGTATGGAGTCGTCCTCTGCCATAAGTACAGTTTCGGTGATTTGATAAGCTGCAGAATAAATGAGTCTAATGTGCTAAAAACACAGTTCACTACTTTAATTATGTGCTAACGCCCCACATATAGCTCCTTTATGTTTATTGGTCACTGTGAGAAATCAGTAAATCTACAGTCTTACTGTAGCTGTCTAAATCTGCTTTAGCGTATGTCCTACACTGTTAAAAAAATTGGTTCTTCAAGGGTTCTTTAGTAACAGAAATGGTTCTGTATTGAACCATGAACACTCAAAGAACCCTTTGCATGATTAAATGGTTCTTTGCATTGTGAAAGTGAACTGTTTTCAAAAAGGTTCTGTATATAACCATATACAGCACATTCTCCGTCAATCTGAAGAACCATTTCAGGATGCAAAGACAGTTTAATTATGCATGGGGTTCTTTGAGTGTTCATGGTTCTATTCAGAACCACTTTTTTTTTTTTACTAAAGAAGGCTTGAAGAACCATCTTTTTAAGGGTGTAGCTGGTCTTCTTTAAATACATTTTGCATTTACGATTCACGTTAGGATACTAGAACAAATGTGGTGAATTTTATTGCCTGAAATAAATAATAATAATCATTTATTATTATTATTATTATTATTATTATTATATTATTATTGTTATTATAGATCCTTTTTTTTTATTTTGGTTGTCTTGAGCTGTGTGAGCTGGACTGAAGCAGCTGGAGACACTTATATGGATGTTGTCTAGACACAGGCTGAGCTAATCTTTGACTAAAACATTGTCAAAATATTAAGTTTGGCTTACTTCAGTACTGACTACTGAGAAATTCCACGTCGAGTTTTAATACGTAAATATTCAGTCTTGTCAGCATCAGTGAGAACGTGTGCATGTTTATGTCAGAGCTTCTTAATTAGTCTGCAGTTTGTTGAGGTCTGTAAATGCACCCACTTCCAGCTCCTCTCAGTGATTTCTGGTTTAAAGCGCACCCACTTTCAGTGTGTGATGTAAAAGAAGGATTTGATAAGTTTTGTTCAGGAGTCGGTATCGAAGTTAAGGTGTTGTTGTTGGTTTAAGTAACAGAGTTTTGAGCAGTGCTCAGCCCTGCTCATGGAAGAAGCCCAGCTAGTGATGGTCTGTATTATTTTTGCTTTGTTTATAGCTGTGTTTGTGTGATTTTACATTTCCAGCATTTAGCAGACGCTCTTATCCAGAGCGGCTTACAAAAAGTGCTTTGTCTATCTAGAGAAAGTATCTTTGCTAGTTACCAATAGGTTAGAGAGAAAGCCAGTCCTGAGCTCAGATACTGCGGGGAACAGAGTTAAACACAGCGCAGTGCAGTACATTACAATAAATACTAAACCCAGTTCTCACTTAAGTGCTGCATAAAGAGATTTGGGCTCTGCTTCTCATTTAAGGATGGGAAGTGAGAAACTAAAATTGGCATGGTTTTCTGACGGTAGCAGATTTCAAAACCCCGCGTCACAGCGTCGAATTCTGCATCTACGCTGCTGGAAACCTGCGGAGAGGAAGAGGCGTCCAAAGCGTGGCTTCAGTTCTCTGAGAAAGATGATGTCAGTGCCGCTCGCAATGTCTGTAAAACGATCATTTCTAGTGAGGGTGGAAACACCAGCAGTCTGTTTAAATCTGCGTAGATATCTTTCAGTGCAACACAGGTTAAAATCCCATCCCAGGAATTTTGTGTATTTGATGCTCTACGCACAAGTGCCGCTGCTTCCCAACAGAGCATGCTGGTACCGAGGGTAAACATCCTGTTAAATTAACGCCACGCAGGCAGGCTTAGCAGATTTTATTTTTCTTTGACCGAGAAAAACAAAATAAGAATGAATGCAGAAGTAATGTTTTATCAGTCAATTTGTTTTCCAAGTTACATCCTTTCAAGAAAAGGAGCATCATCATTTATTTTTAATCAAAAGAGATAATGAAACAGCTGCGTTGACACTGAAAACCAGTGTAGGTCGACTTTTTTTCCCCACACATAAAATTGATAAGGGATCAGTAAGGGAATCATTAAAGGTGCCGTATACGATTCTGGAGAGAGAAGTAGGAAAAGAAATAAACCCCTCCCTTCAGTGCTCCGCCCCCCAAGTTCATGGATGTGCACTGCCAAGGCGAACAACACTGGTCTAGCAAAGTGTGTGGGCTTTTTCTTTTTCTTTATTTATTAATTTTTTTTTAAGGGTCTTCTTGGCCGTAAAACCCTTCGCAAATGTTGTACGGACAAATGCCATGATATGGCATTAGAGCAACGTTAGCTGGGTTGTGGGTTGGCAAACTGTTGCTGCAGTTGCTGCTGTGAAGCTGAGCAGTTGTTACCACGAACATTAGCAAACAGAACAAAACAATATTGATCTATTGATTCGGTGAATCAGCAGAAATAAGTTAATGTTACCCACCTGTCAAGCAGCCTCCTCATCCCTTTTCATGCCTTTTAACTCTCCTCATAAAGCTGAAATTGGCTTCTTTTTTGCATTTTCCTGTTCCACTTTAAATGGTGCAGCAGTTACGTTCAGGCGCAGAATGGAACTGCAGCATGATTTAAGGTAGAATGGGGAAAATATGCACCAGTTTAGCCAGTTTGTGTGTTGTAAGAACTGTTATGTGGAAAGCCCCTTTTTTTTATTCTGCTCTTAACCACATATCAGTTCATGAATTTTTACAGATACTCGAATATCCAAATTAATGAGTGCACATGTTTATATACTCTAGAGCTGCTCCTACACAAAATGTAATATGAGCACTAACAACATCTAAAGCTACACCGCTGATTAGACTTGTGTGATCACATTGCCTTGACTTAACTCCTCCCAGAATGTGCTTCCTCCAGCGGCAAGCCCAACCTCAACGACGTCATCCTGGTGAACTTAGCCTACGTTTCAGAGGTGAATATTGTTAATGACCGCACTGAGACTCCACCTCCTCTAGCATCTTTGAATGTGAGCAAGGTAAGGTCAGCTCTTTTTCCTCTGTGACCTTTATGACCTTAAAGGCCCGATCACTTTACCACTTTAATTTTCAACACTGGCTGTGTTTACATGCAAAGATTGCCAATCTGATTAAATACATTCCGATTACAGATTAAGACTGAGGTGTTTATATGCACACTTTATTCAACAGTCCGATGGAAAATCTCTGTTTACATGCTCACTACAAGTAATCCGATCCAAAATGACACGCATGCGTGGAGAACCACTTAGAGTAAACGTTACCATGACAACCAGCATCACGTGAGTCCAGTCAGAGTGAGATGAGCAGCAGTGAGCAGTGCTTGTGTTTCTAACTGCTTTAAAATGATGTCAGACTCAGGAAAACGTCCTTCACGTGTCCTTATTAAAGAAGGCCGAGAGGAAGACGTCGTGTTCTGAGACACATAAGCTGGACGTCCGTCCCACCGCCGTCTTTTAAAGATCAGAGCATAAACTTCGTCTCCTCTGCAGACCAGTTTCTGCTCCGCCATGTCGAACGGTATAAACTTTCACTATGACGCGACGAACATGATCAGAACGGACTTAAACTTTCCGATAGGGAATGTAATCAGATACAGGCGTTTACACAGATATTATTCTTCTATTTAACGGATTATTTACAGGATTACCCACCTCGATCAGTCGGATAGAAACTGTATTCTGAAAGGCCTCAATCGGACTAGACTATTCAGATTGAAGTGTTTACATGGACGTATTCTATTCCGATTGAACTATTAGATGGATTATTAACGGAGTATTAGGCTGCATGTAAACATGGCTACTGATATTTACACTCTGAATATGAGATCTGATATTTTTCTTTAAAAACTGTTAATTTAAAACTCATTTTAAAGCGTTTTGTTTGTTACGGCATCTCAACTAGAGGTAATATGACTTATTTTGATCATTTTTAATCATGATCGTCGATATCCTCAGTGCTTAAAGAACAGTGACCGACCGAGTTTCATTAAAAGGAAAGCATTATTTAGTCTTGTTTAACTGGCTTTAGTGCCGCATGGTATGTTTATTATGAATAATAATTGTATTGATTTGATTTTTATGGCAGATTGTGTTCATGGGTCAAAATATCGTGATATGTATCGCATCTCGTGAAATTATTTTTCCTCATATTGCCCACCCCGAATCTCAAGACCACACTCATCACTACAGGAAGAAATACCCAGCCAACAACATGACTTGTACAAAACTTATTAATGTATATATGTAGACTGCTGTGAAAAAGTGCCCCCGTCTGAATTCTTCTTTTTTTGCTAATTTGTCAGATTTAAATGTTTCAGATCATCCAACTAATTTTAATATAAGTTAGACAACACGAGTAAACACAAATCCTGTATCACCCGTGTGAAAAAGTGATTGCCCCCTAAACCTAATAACTGGTTGTGCTGCCCTCAGCAGTAACAACTGCAGTCAAACGTTTGCAATGAGTCTTTTACGTCACTGTGGAGGAATTCTGGTCCAGTCTTCTTCGCAGAATTCGTTTAATTCGACTACGTTGGAGGGTGTTTGAGCCTGAACTGCCCATTTAAGGTCTTCCCACTTCCCACAGTCCTGCTGTGTAACCCGACTGCGCTTGAGCATTAGGTCACAAACTGATGGGCGGGCATTCTCCGTCAGGATTTTCTGATGGAGAACAGAATTCATGGTTCCATCAGTTGTGACGAGTCCGGGTCCTGTAGAAGCAAAGCAGCCCTGGATCATCATGCTACCACCACCATGTTTCACTGTTGGCATGATCTTCTTATGGTGGAATGCGGTGTCAGCTTTACGCCAGATGTAACAGGACCCATGTTTTCCAAGAAGTTCCACCTTTGACCCATCAGTCTACAGAATATTATCCTAAAAGTCTTGGTGGTCATCTAGATGTTTTTTGGCAAATGTAAGACAAGCCTTTGAGTTCTTTTTGGTCAGCAGTGGTTTGTGCCTTGCAGCTCTCCCATGGATGCCATTTTTGCCCAGCGTCCTTATTGTGGAATTGTGCATATTGACCTTAACTGTGGCAAGTGAGGCCTGCAGTTCTTTAGATGTTCGTCTGGGTTCTTTTGTGACCTCCTGGAAGAGTCGTCAATGCGCTCTTGGTGAAATTTTGGTAGGCCGGCCACTCCTGTGAAGGTTCACCACTATTCCAAGTTCCTCCAAAAAAGTGAAAGATCTTACTACAGCCTGTAATGGTTGGTTGGAGCTCACAGTTCCACTTGCTTTTTGATTGCTTGTAAAAAACTGTAAATTTTCTGCGTATGTGGTCCTGTAATGTTAATTCAGTGATTCACGTCATGAAATGATGCTGCTTGTTACTGTTTTGCCAGTTGTTACTGGATGAGGGATCTGTATTATTATGATAATTGTTTGTTAAAATAAAATGACGTTTTTCTCTGAATTTCTTGGCTGCTGTTGCTCCATGTAATAGTTTGCTGTCTGTCTGTTTGTTTTTCTTCTTGTTTTTAGCTTGCCAATCGGGCGAGGACGGAAAAGGAAGACAAGTTATCCCAAGCCTATGCAATCAGCGCTGGGGTTTCAGTCGAGGGCCAGCAACTATTCCAGACTATACATAAAACGTAAGACACAAAAAGTCACATGCAGTGTTTTACATTTTTGTGGTAAATAATGCCAAACTAGGAAAAATGGACGAGTCAAAAAGCCAAGATAAATGATTCCCAAACGGCACCGGTACCTTGCGGTATATTGAACACTCTGGTGAACCTCTGATCACCTGATTAAATATTGATTTACATTATTTTGACCAATATTATTTACATTTGTTGGATCACATGAACACAGAATGCTTAATGCACAAATAACTAATTTGATAGAGGACTCATTTGCATATTACTGCCAGTATTGCAGTAATGATTAACGAACGATATACTGTGCATATCGTATGGTGACGTAAGGCTTTAGAGGCTGAGAGTTCGGTTGAGATTGAACCGCTCTGCTGCGCTCTCGTCAGCGGCGTGCCTCTGATCAGTTTCAGTGTCCGATGTCCATGTTCGTGTGACGGTATATTTTCGGCCTCTGTGTTACATGAGATCAAGTTATGTAGGCGGATTGTTGCACTTCACTAAGCGCTCTTGTACAGATTGTCAGCACTTCATTTTGGCCTGAAGGAAATAATAAATTAGTAGCTGTAGCTTCACCTCTGTTGACCTTTAAAGAAGAAAAAATGCAAATAAAAAATCAAATTATATTTTACATATTTTTCAGCCGTGGCAGACTGGAGCTCTTCAAGGACTGCAGACACCGCAGATTAATAATGCATATAAATGAATATAAATCCACTCTCGCTACTGTTTGTGTAGTATGTGACCACACTAGAGAACTCTTTACTTTCACGGTTCTACTGTGCGATGGGAAATGGACACAGGTACCCGACAGGGCTATGAATAGTTCTGGATTCAGATTTGTAACTGAAAAACGCCAGAATGTGTCCAGGGTGGAAAGCAGAAGTGACCGCAAATCTCCCAAACAGCTGTGTCAGACAGCGACACTTGAACCAGCTGTATACTTGTAGTTTAAACATCATTAAGTTTGAGTTATCATTTTAAAGATTCTTGCTTTTGCCCCACCTCTAAAACATCATCTCATTTTTGATCCCCCCTCCCACCACCCCACTTCAAGGGTTCCATTTAGAACATTAAACACTCAGAGAACCCTTTGCATGATTAAACGGTTCTTTCCATCGTTAAATCGTTCTTCAGATTGATGAAGAATGCGCTGTAGATGATTCTATATAGAACCTTTTTGAAAATGGTTCTATGTAGCACCAAAAAAGGGTTCTGCTATTGTTACAGGTTTAAAATCGCAACAATAGAAGAACGCTTTTTGGTCCTATTTAGAACTTTTTATATAGGTTGTTTAGAACCATATAAAACATTCTCCATTAATCTGAAGAACACTTTCATGATGCAAAGGGTCCTTTGAGTGTTCATGGTTCTATATGGAACCATTTTCTGTACTAAAGAACTCTTGCAGAACCATCTTGCGTTGAGAAAACTGTCAGCTAGATTCTTTCACAGATAATTCACAGCACAGAGGAGGGAATCGGTTGTGATTTCCAGTTGATGTTGACTTTAAATCCACTGTTACACTAAATGTGATTTACTCAGTAAATACTCTGATTTGCTGCTTCTGTCACTTATTTCTAATAAACCTTTCTTTCTCCTCTCCAGCATCAAAGACTGTAAATGGCAGGAGAAGAACATTATTGTGATGGATGACGTCGTAATCTCGCCGCCGTATCAGGTGGAGAACTGCAAAGGCAAAGAGGGAAGCGCTTTAAGTCATATACGCAAAATTGTGAGTCTTTCCCTCTCGCGCCACCTCACAGCCCTGTGTTCAGTTCCAGACCATTCATTGTGTTCCTTTTCAGTTCAGGACTCAGGGCTGTGTTTCAAGCCAGTGTCACAGTAAATACATTTATTTATTTTTTTTGTGATCAAGAATTTTTATTTCACAAACAACAAGGGATAGGGGGCAACAGACAGCCAGAGACATAGACAGCAACAATGATCATAGGTACAACATCACAAAATTAAATAAGGGATGAACTGTCCATATTCAACGTATACCTTGCAGGAAATCCAAAATACGTAACACAAAAGTTTGCCATGTTTCAACAGTCATGTGCTTAGCATGGTTAAGTCGCGCAGCCGTACATTCAAGTTTTGCTATGTTAAGTAAATTAACAGCCCAGAATGATTCCAAGTGAAGTCCAGGTGTGATCCAGTTTTGTAGGATTGTCTTTTTAGCAGCAGTAAATCCAGAAAACAATAGTTTACTCTGTATAACCTTTAGCCCTATATTGGAGTTGTCATTCAAGAGACACAAACATGGGTCATAATTATATTCAATTTCCAGTAAATCAGACAACACTACAGTAAATACATTTATATCTTGAACCGGGGTGAGAGTTGTGGCAGAAATACAACATAATGCTTGAAGACAGATTCATGATACAGGAGAAGTAGCGATACTTATTTTTACAATGATGTTTAAGCAACTTTTGACATTGCACTGCAACAAATACATTTAAACAGGAGTTTTTGTTATGTTTGTAATGAAACATGCTTGGTAGTTGTTCTAGAAGTACTGACAATGTGCATGATATGCTCATAAAAGCATACTGTGCCACAGTTTATTCTTAAAAATGATGGTTTTTCAAGGGTTCATCCATTGTACTCTTCTATTGTTACAAGCTTGACATCGTAACTGCAGAAGAACCCATTTTGGTGCTATTTAGAACCATTTTAGAAAGGGACTATACTGAACCATATACAAGACATTCTCCATCAATCTGAAGAACGCTTTAAGCATGCAAATAGTTCATTAAGTGTTCATAGTTTTATGTAGAACCCGTGTCTTTACTAAAGAACACTTGAAGAACCATCTTTTTTTAAGAGTGTAGTTGTTAGCTAGTTTGAAGAACGAAGTTTGGTTCTATATTTCTCCTGAGCGCCTCCAGCTGTCACACAGGTTTATATTCTGGATTAAATTAATATATTAAGTACACACATTAAAAAGATGGTTCTTCAAGGGTTCTTTAGTAAAGAAAAAAAGATTGCTGAACAGTCAAAGAGCCGTTTGCATGTAGAAGCTTTTTGAAAAGGGTTCTGTTATTGTTACAAGCTTAACGTCATAATAGAAGAGCCCTTTTTGGTGCTATATAGAACCACCTTCAGCACATTCTCCATCAATATGAAGAACCATCTTGCAAAGGGTTCGAGTGTTCATGGTTCTATGTAGAACCATTTTCTTTACTAAAGAACCCCTGAAAACCCATCTTTTTAAGAGTGCAGGCAAACGCAGCTTGAATTCACTGATCTTTGCACAAATTGCCCCTTACTTCTAATGTAGTTGATCACCTGAGACGCATTTGGTGTAATGAGTTTCACATTTGTCCTGGAGCTACGAGGCTAAAGTAGCTAACAAGTAATGGAAGCTATAGCCCACCAATTAGCATTGTGCTAACTGCATGCCTAATTCACACACTTGCCTCAAATGGTGTGGAGGCGTTCAGTGTCTCTAATAGTCTTGATTATGTGGTTCCTGACACTGTATGACTCACTGTTATCTAGAAACATTAGACTAAATTCAGCTGTCAGTGGCTACTACTGTTTTAAAACGGGTGCACATGTTTTGTTTGGCCCATTGAAGAGTTGATAGTTATTTATTTTGTGACTGTGGATAATAAAGTACTGAATGTGTGCTAATGTGTTTTATATTTAGCCAAAAACGGCCATCAGCCAGTTTATTATGCGTGCATCCCTAGTTATTTGCTACGCAACGTACTTTTGACGAGTGGCGTGCCGTGGCGTGGCGTGGTTTAGCCAATTTTAAGGGCAGTGCCATCACTCTAACAGTCACCCAGTCTCATACTGGACTGGACTGCCCTCAGCGGTGCTACAGTTCCATAACTATAGTTATTTATGCAAGTTCCTCCACTGTAATAATGCACACAGGCTTCAGCCCATTACTGCTATACGTCAATGTGTCCGCCATATTGGTACAGGCAGGACTGGCCTGTAAACAAATAAAAGTAAACGGGGAGCTGCTGTTATGCTGTTATGATGTTTACTTTTCTCTACCGATTTCAGTGAGTTGTTTTTATATTCAGGGGTTTATGATCTACATAGAACGCAAAAAAGTTTTGTCTGCAGCTTCAAGTCTCGATAGTTATAATCACTATACTGAAGAGAGGAGTGTGTATCAGCGTTTAGGCTGACGAACTGAATTACTAACATGGTGGAAAATAATTTGCTGTAAGGAACTGTAAAAACTTACGTTTGGAGACGTCCCTATATAATTCCATGTACATTAAATGTGATTTTTTTTTCTTTTTTTCTTTAAGTTGTGAAAGACTTGCTGTCAGTTTTCATGTCTGTCACTCAGCCGAGTAGCTTGTCATAAAGATTGGTTTGAAGAAAAACATCAATATAGATGAAAATCTTGATTATTTTACCAATTTAGTTTATATTATTTCTTATAAAGTCTTAGCTTTCATAGCTGGCAAGCATTATTGCAGACGTTAGCTATTAATATTCTGACTCTGGTGGTCAACTAGTTAGCTCTTAGCATAGTGTTATAATGGCAAAATACAGCCAAAAACAGCAGGTCAGTCTTACCTGTGAAAGGGGATTCCCTGAGATCTCGTTTGGACTGTGTGATGGTTTGTACTCCTCAAGCTGCACATGACTTCTGAAAGTTATGAAGTTACCCAGACCAATGTGGCGGCGACATTGATGCAAGATCCAGCAGCCGATGCGGCGTTAATGAGTGTGTCTATAAGATTGCCTGACTGTATTTGGGGTAAAGGTGGGGGGGCTGTGTGTAAAATAGATTTTTTTTAGTTGAATTATCACTTTTAATTTAACCTTTTTCAAGAGTTACCATCATCTTCTCTCTCTGTCGTAGGTCGAGAAACATTTTAGAGATGTGGAAACTCAGAAGTCGATGCAGCGTTCACAAGCACAGCAAACACAGAAGGACTCGTCGTTATCCTCCTGAGGCGGGCGCGGCGGGCGTGGATCGCCCGGAGAGGGCCCCGCGGGCATCAGCGCCCCGAGAGCCGGGCCAGAACGGCGCTCCTCTCTCTCCTCCTCCTCCCCTTCAACGCCGCAGTCAGAGGGCGGCGGTACCAAGACCCCAGGGTCTTCAAGATCAAACAAAAACAAATGAAAAACTAAAAAAAAAAAGATAAATCAGAAAAAGTGAGGGTGGAAAGAGTTAATTCTAAATTAGATTTATAAAGATAATTTAAAATACCAACTATTAAGCAACCCATAGTTTTCCTGACTAACTTCCAGCATCTTATTCCCTCTCTTTCTCCCTGTGCTCTCTCTCTTCCCTCTTCTCCCTCCTTCTCTCCTTTTCTTTTCTTCTTCTCCCCCCTCCTTCATTTTCATCCTTCAATTCCATTTTGTCAAAAAAGGAAAAAACAGAGCAGTCAGAGAAGCTTGTTAGCTTTTTTTCTTCCCCCAGATTTTCCTTTTTTGCTGTCTTCATGTTCTACATGTGTCTGTATTTTCTGTATTTTAAACAAAACAAATGTGACTTGAAATGCCACACTTTAAAAAAAAACGGACATTTTCTAAAATAAAAGTAACAAAAATTCTGACTGTAATGCTGTAATTTTCACCACTTTTTGCAAAATGCTTCACACAAAAGCTTTAATCTGTTCCGGGAGAAGAAACGCCGGACACCTTCTCATAACGTCTGCCGTTCCTTTGACCGTGTGCTTTATACCGGTCATCATACTGACGTATGAAGTGGTCAGTGCGTTAAGTTGTTGTTTTTAATGCATTTTATGTCTGTTTTGTATTTACACAACAGGTTGAACGTTTGGAAAGCAACAATAAAATTGTCAAAAATTACTATTTATATATCGCTGCTGTCCGAAGAAAAATAAGGATCTCCAAAATAGCGAGTTTACAGGAGAGGCCAAAACCGTCCTTTACTTTTAGTGTAAATTAATGTAAAGTGATTTCATTCGAAGCAGTTTTGAAGCATTTCTTTTGATCCATTTAGCATTGTCACAAAATGTAAAGAGCAGCTGCTCAAATGACGTAGAAAAGTAAAAATGGAGATACATGATTTTTCTTTGGACAGTGATGATATATTTTCTTTTATGTGCAATAACTTATTTTTTCAAGACTTTCAGCTGTTGCAGATTCTCCTGAAGGTGCATCAACTTGGTGTCTAAAACATTTCAACAAAGACTGACATGACAGCTTTTCCACAGAATACGTAGAGTAAGAGTACAGCACTGCAACACTGGTGGGAATATTCTGGAACAAAACTGCGTTGGTTAAACTACCCTCACAAAAAAGTTGACTGAAGTGTGTACTTCTTTTAAACTAATAATAAATGAGTATGCTTTCAGTATACTTTTATGTATTTATCAGAGATACACAACACAAAATTATACCTAAGTATACTTGGCTTACATGTACAAGTACACAGAGTTTTTTTATAGTTTTATTAAGTATATTCAGCCTATACTTGTACTTAATCTTGTGGTTGAGATTTATTTAAGAAAAGTATAAGTGAGCATAAAGTGTCACAAGAAGCAAGTAGGCCTGGGTTCGATTCCCCAGCTGGGTAACCCAGGGTCCTTTCTGTGTCTGTGTGGGTTTCCTCCCACTGTCCAAAGACATGCAGTCGTTCCAGTGGTTTTATGTATAAGTTTAATTGTGATATACTTCAAAGTATTCTTTTATAAACTATAAACTGGGCCAATTTAGTCCCAAGAAGTACTGAAATAGTACACTTACAAGTAACCTACTCGTACACTGATATTAGTATACTTACTACAAAGTATACTTGGGAAATATACTTGAACTTTACTTACGTTAATAAAATGAACTTGTTTTTTTATGTAAGGGTACCCAGCACATTTTTTGAATAATGAATATTTTTGAAGCTTATGCATCAACTTGCTTCCACACTTTGACCTGTACTGTGTATTTATACAAGATGGTGGAGTTACACAAAAAGGAGACCTGGATGAAGTTCCCATAAGCGTAAGGGTTAAAATGAGGCTGTGGAAGGGATCTATGTGGGATGATTAGTTGATAATAAGAAAGAAAAAGGAGAAACTCCTTCAGAGCATGAGGACGAACCACACAGGAACCGAGAAACATCTCAAGAGCGTGAGGAAGAGGAACGGGGAGCCCATCCTCGTCTGGGCGGCACCATATGGGTCATTCTTCATTTGGAGTGGGAATTCAGGTGGATTTTTAAAAATCAGTTTCTTTCATCTCAAAACTAAATCATCTTATGTCCATTAACATCTCCTGGTATCATACATGCAGAAAGGAGAGCTGAACTCCAAACATAGTTTTACAGTCACTGGTGTTGTATGAATGTGGTGTAACACCAGTGACGGTGACTCCAGTGACATTCTGGTTCAAACAGGATTCTGTAAACTGGCTGACTCGTTGGCTGATCAGGTGACGTGCAACTATATAAAATCAGTAATAAAAATGATATTTGGAATTATTTAGACAAAATTTTAATTAGCCAGCCATTAAAGCCCAAAACACCAGTGACACATGGAAGTTCTGAGCTGCCTGATAAACAAAATTATTAATAAATTAATTAAATATAGTGAGCGAGTGTGACTCGCCTTCTCAGGCCTTGAGCTGCTTCCTCTCCGATGAGCCTCGACTCAAAGAAGCAGTTAAATAGAGCTGAAAATACTGTGTTAAAATGTAAAATAAGAGTCCTGAAAACACCAGAGACCAAAATCTGTGACAAATAATTTTTAAAATAAAATACATATTTTTTAAACATAGTATAAGGTTAATGATATAAAAAGTAAACATGAATCTGTTTTATACAAAGTTCAAAGTTAAACCTCTTTAAAAAAAATTTTATATTAAAAAAGGTTTGAAAACTGGTTTAGTGATGAGCTGTTTTACAGATGCAGAGCGACTGAAACAGGATAAAAAGAGAAAAATCAGAGAATCATAAAGGAAAAGTGTCATTTAATCTCAGCTCAACTGTGTAAATGTACATACTGACTTTTGTAGCTGTGCCGGATATTTTAAGCATCTTTTTAGGCCCTGAAAACTCTGTGACATGGTTTCCCCTCCAAATGGAGAACGACCCACATAACATTCTCTATTGAACCCCTTTTTAAGGACGGCAGGTTAGAAGTTCATTAGGGAGCTCTGAGGGGTCCTAACATAACACTTGATTACATCAAGGTGGATAATGAATTATTTATAAGCTGTTCTAGAACGTAAAACCTTACTTGATGTGCTCATTAGAATAATGTTTTAATGGTTCCTAAATAAATCATGAAGCTGGGCGGCTTACTGCTGAAACTGATCTGGCCGATTGCATCATTGCTGACAATGATCTTTGATGTTTCCGTGTCTGAAGTTACACCACGGCCTAAATCAAAGACTGGCGACAGGAATAAGCTGTCGAGACTTTTCCACTATGAGGGGTGAGTTTATTTACAGCAAATCCGAGACGTCGGTGCTGTTTTATTAATGTCTGCCTGCCAAGGGCTCTTTGTTTTCTCTAATGGTGCAACTTGGAGATGAAGTGAGTCTGAAGAGCACTGAGGGCTATCTAGGCTGGTCAGTTTAGCTGTTGTTTACTGGTAGAGTTCTAGTAAAGTAGGGACGTCTCAGATGAGGGGTATCATGATGACAGGAATGATGCGCAAGTAGCTGTAATTAGAACTCTCCTGCGGAACACGGTCAGACTCGGAGAAGAACCTGTGAAGAATGGCAAAGAGTTCAGAGCATCGAATGGTATGGTAGTGTGTTCAAGAGATGATTACGTGTCAGTTTTAGGTTAGTTTATACAAATGTACTTTATTCACTGGGGTATCCCACTTCTGACACCAATTCATCAATAGATGCATCATAGAAGCTATCAGTTCTTGTTCCTTCAAGAATTCACCCTGGATTGTGGTCACTGGGTTACACAGAAGAACAGCAGTTCTGTGGAAGGAGCCCACGGTAAGTCTCTTACAATAAAAGCTCATAGATGGAAAAGTGATTTTGTGCTGGTTTCCCAGACCTGGATTAAGCCTACACTCTTAAAGATGATTCTTCAAAGGTTTTTAGTAAAGAAAATGGTTCTATATAGAACCATAAACACTCAAAGAACCATTTGCATGCTTAAAGTGTTCTCTGCAATGTGAAATGATTCTTCTGATTGATGGAGAATGTGCTGTTTTCAAAAGGGTTTCGAAAGGGTTCTGGATTGTTACTATGTCAAACTTGTTACAATAGAAGAACGTTTTTTGGTGCTAGACATAACCATATACAACACATTCTACATCAATCCGAAGAACAGTTTCACTATGCAAAGAACTCTTTAAGCATGCAAACCTTTTGAAAAGGGTTCTTCTATTGTTACAATGTCAAGTTTGTTAAAATAGAATAACCCTTTTTGGTACGTTTCGGTTCTGTATAGCACCAAAAAGGGTTCTAGTATTGTTATAACCTCAGACTTCCAAAAATAGACTAAACCTTTTTATAACCTTGTTGTATAGAACCATATACAACACATTCTCCAAAGAACCCTTTCATGATGCAAAGAACCCTTTAATCATGCAAAGGGTTCTTTGAGTGTTCATGGCCTTATAGAACCACTTTCTTTACTAAAGAACCCTTGAATCTTTTTAAGGTCTTGGACTGAATTGCAGATCCTATGGTGAAATCCAATTGAAACCTTTTAGTCTAGGTTTAGGCTTAATCTGGGTCTGGCCCTTCATCATTTTCCCTTTCAGGGCTGGGACGTGATTAAATATTGTGCTGATGCTAATGATAATCTGCCCACAGTAAAATAAACCATCCAACCATCTGTCAGCACATCTGCCCAGCAGTGTTGTCTGGCATGATAATGACTGACTCGAAGTCTTGCTGTGCAAAATGGTCAACGGATTAAGGGATTAAGCTCTTTATATAATTTCTCTTATTTTATGTAATATAGAGACAAATCCCGTCTGTGGAACCAATCAGATTAGGCTGTTGAATTCACTGCAGTCACACATGAGGTTTTCCGGCTCGGAAAAGAGCAGCACTGCCATGGCTTCTGCTGGAACTGCACTGTTTCCGTCTCCTTTCCAGCTTCACCTTTCAGCCTGCGGGATGGACAGGAGTGAGTAGCAGGTTCCGGCACCGACGCTGGCCGAGCAGTGGACTCAGAATGTTCAGGGTCATCTGTCTTTTGCCCCTCGCCTTAACTCTGGTGACGGGTTCCAAGCTGTGTCCTCATCACTGCCTGTGTTACGGTAACTCTGAGATGGTGGACTGCCGAGCCCGCGGGTTCACGCACATCCCGCACGGGATCCCTCACGGTACCTGGCTCCTGGACCTCAGTGAGAACAAGCTGTCTCAGCTCCGGAGCTCCACGTTCACTGGGATTTGGACTCTGCGCATCCTTTTACTCCAGAACAGCGGCATCCAGGTGCTGCAGTCTCGGGTGAGTTCTGGCTCTGAGCCCTGTTTTACTGTACACTACCGTTAAAACATCAGACTCACACCAGTAGATCTGTTAACAACACGTCATGGAGGATTTTAGATGTTTTACTCAGGATTTCAATATTTACATTTTGGGAATAACAAGAAATCATATAAAATGACAATATAATGTCAA